CGCCGCTCCGGCCACACTCCGCTCGCGCCCGCCCCGCCGCGCACAAAAGCGCCAAACAAAGGCACGTGACCCGCCCCGCCCCGCCCGGATTGGCCGAGCCCGCCGGCACGTGCCGCCCGCCGTGGGGGGGCTGCGGGGACTCGCGCCCACCCCCCCCGCCACAACGGAGCCCCCCGGCCGCGCGGGGCATGCCGGGAGTTGTAGTTCGACCCCCCGCGCTCGGGCCGGGGGTACCGGGCCGAACCGCGACGCCCCCCGGCCCTCAGGGACCCCCCAGAGCCCCGCACTGGGATCCCCCCGGAGCTGCTGGGATTGCTTTTGTGTGGCCCCCCTGCGGTGGGGCGGACAGGGCCGGCAGGGCCCGAGCTGCGGCCAGGGGTGTCCGGCCCTGGCCGGAATGGTCAGAGCGGGGCTGCGGTGACCAGTGCTGCGGCCACCTCACGGCCATGGGCACCCAGAGCCACGGGCACCACAAGATCACGGTCACCTCAGAGCCATGGTCACCTCACGGCCGTGGTCACCTCAGATCCGTGGTCACCTCAAAGCCATGGTCACCTCAGACCCATGGTCACCTCAGACCCATGGTCACCTCAAGATCCCGGTCACCTCAGTGCCACGGTCACCTCATGGCCATGATCACCTCAGATCCGTGGTCACCTCAAAGCCATGGTCACCTCAGACCCATGGTCACCCAGATCCATGGTCACCCAGAGCCATGGTCGCCACAAGATCATGGTTACCTCAGAGCCATGGTAACTCCAGAGCCACGGTCACCTCAAGGTCGTGGTCACCTCAGATCCATGGTCACCCAGAGCCATGGTGGCCACAAGATCATGGCCACATCATGGCCATGGTCATCTCACATTCATGGTCACCTCATGGCCATGGTCATGTTAGATCCATGCTCACCTCAGATCCATGGTCACCCAGAGCTGTGGTCACCACCAGATCATGGTCACCTCATGGCCATGGCCTCCTCAGATCATTGGTCACCTCATGGCCACGGTCACCTCAAGGCCATGGTCCCCTCAGATCCATTCATGGTCACCTCCATGCCATGGTAACCCCAGACCCATGGTCACCTCAAGGCCACGGCCACATGCCTCGAGACCTTGGTCCCCTCAGTGACATTGTCACCTGCCTAAGGACACGGCCACCTCAGGGCCACCATAACTTCAGGGCTCTTGCTCGTCCCCAAGACAAGCCTGTCCCTTTGGTCACCTCGGGGTGACAGCCACCACAGAGCTCTGTGGCCCCACGGCGTTTGGGGGCCCCCATTTGTGCAGATCCCGTGGAATGGGCGCGGCGGCTCCTCGGGGACCCTCCCCAGGACAGCGCCTTGGGAAGCGCCTCGCTCCCAAAACTGCTCCAAATAAACTCCCTCACGAGTCAATCCCGTGGTGGTTTCACGCTCTGGCCACCCAGGAGTCAGTCCACACAAAAGGCAGATGGACACCCAGCAGAACCCTCTGCTGCAGCCCCAGCCCAGCCGCCTCCACACCCTCAATCCCAAAAAAAAAGGATTTTCTGGCACCCCCCCTTGCCGAGCACCCCCTTAAACCCAAAGATTTTGCGCCAAAAGCGGAGGGATCCTACCTGGAGGAAGGTTAATGTTGTGACAGAAAGGCAGGGAGCTTTCAAAACAGAGATTATTTTAAACGCTGGCCCTGTTTTTTGCTGATCTGACGTCTATTTCCATGGAAACCACATCCAGCCGCCGAGCTGCTGGAGTTGGGAGAGGCAGGGTGGCCATGCAAGAGCCATTTTCCAGCGTGGTGGAACCTTTTTTGTGGCACTGCTGGGACCCCCGGGACCCCAGCCCCAAATCTGACCCGCTGGGGCCCCTGGGGATCCCAGGGAAATCCCACCCTGGCAGCCCCAGCACGCGTGTTTTCCTGGGAAACACCTCGAGCGCTTGGATGAAACGCCCTGGGAGACAAAGCAGCCCCTGCCAGCGGGACTTGATCATTTATTAATTAATTAATTATCACCCCTGCAGCCCAGCACTGGGCTGGAGGCGTTGATATTAATGCTCGTGAGTCAATCAATGAGCTTATCCTGGGATGATCCCTGGATTTCCCAGAGGAAATGAGGTTTTCTGGGCTCGGGGCTTTGGGGTTGCACCTTGTGAGGGCCTTGAGCAGTGCTCAGCCCCAGCTGGGGAGGAGGAAATTTCCTTTCCAGCCTTTGGAGGAGGGGTGCAGGCTGAGAGAAAGCTACGGGTCATGCCAGCACTTCCCAGCTGATTTTGTGGAGGGAAAAAAAGGAAGAGAAAAAGAAGAACACAAAAAAACAAAAAAAAAAACAAACCCAAAAAACCCCACAAAAACAACAACAACAACAAAAAAACCCAAACCAAAACAAAAAACCCAAAAAACCAAAAAAACACAAAAAACCAAAAAAAACCCAACCCAACAAACAAAAAACCAAAAAAAAAAAAGAAAAAAGAAAAAAAAAATACAAAAAGAAGAAGAAAAAAAAGAAATAATAATAATTTAAAAAGACCTGTCTGTAGCTTACCTTCCTTTGCAGATTGGCTTAAAAGCCAAGAATATTTCTTTCGGCTGAGAACTCTCTTATGTAAGAGGAGAATTTTTGACAGAGCTGGGGAGAGGATTTGGGCCCTGCTCTCAGCCCTGGGATTTTCCATGCCCTGGATTTTGGGGTGAGCCCCTTCCCCAGCCCCTGCCACTGCTGGTTCTGATCTGAACCAAAATCTGCTGCGATACAGAGAGCAACAAGAGCCCCCAGCAGGTGGGGAGACACGGAGGCAATCTCATTTTTTGGCCTTGTTGCAAGAGTGGTTTTATTTTTGGAGCATTTCATAAACCCCGTTTGTTTATGTGGCATTTATTTTTGTCTGATCTCGAGGAGAATGGAGTGCATGAAAAGCTTTTATTTAATTTGCATTTGATTTGTGTTTATTGACACATTTACTGCGGTTCCAAACAGACTCTTCCCTCCTCAGCATGTGGCTGTGGTAGTTTTTATCTACTGGATTCCTTATCACCAACGAAAGCTTTTTATTTTTGCTTTAATTCCAGTTTTACCACTAAGAGAGCAGGCAGCAGTGGCAGAAGCATCCTCCAACGTGTCCCATTTAGCCCCAAAACAGGTTGGAGCAGAAAAACACCGCTTCAAGCCCGAATTTAACATCAGAACGAATTTCTGACAGATGAATTTCTGCCTTTTTTGGGAAAATAAAGGATCACAGCAGGAGAGGAGAAAGGACAAAGGCTCTGAAAATCAGGAATATGACCAGTGGCCTGAGATGGGGATAACACCACCCACCCCAAACGTGACCCTCAGTGCTCCAGGGGGGCTCAACCCCCCAAAAAAACCCAACCTGAGACCCCTCAGCTCCATCCCAGCCCGCCCTGCTGGGGGTGAACCCCCAAAATCCAGAGGGATCCGGGGGGGTGGGAATTTGGGACGGGAGCAGATCCAGCCCAAAGATGAAAGCCTCTGCTCTGATGTGCTTATCAAAACACCCCACAAAGAGACTGACACAATTAGGTGACAACTCAGCCCACGGCAGCTCCTTTAACTTGCAAAAATATTTAATCTCCAGTAGGAAAATGTGGTTTCTGAGTGTTGAATTGCCAGCCTTAAGCGCTGGTGCTGCTGCAGGGAGTGACAGCGTATTTGTTAATCAGGGGATGTTTTAGAGCACCTTGGTTAGTGATTCTTGCAGCCCTGAATTAGCAAAGTTTATTTTAAAACCAGAAATCCAATGTATTATCTGACCTGAGCGGGTCGGTTTGGGAGATTTAATAACCAGGGGGAAAAAGCGGAATTTTAAAAGGAACTCAGAGGTGGGGAAGGGCTACAAGATCTCTTCCAATCCACTCAGTGATCTCACAGGGGGTTTTTTCCAACTTTAAATATTCTTGATCTTCAGATAAAAATGCATTTTAACCCAAACACAGCCCAGGAGCCCACGGAACTGAAGAACAAACCAAGATTTTTAGGGAGTGTCTCCCTCACAATGAAAGCTTTTCCACAGGCAGGAAGCGTTTAAGGTAATTGATATTTGTTTACGGGAGGTGTTTAGGCTGGTACTATATTTATGCTGAAAAACACCATTAAGAAAACGTTCCCTTCGGAATAAATTTGCACTTCCCAATGCGCTGTTGGAAATAATTGAATTTTTGCGGTTTTTTTTTTGAGAAACTCACTCGAAATCTGTTAATTCCTCCCTTAAATGAGAGGAGGAAAAGCTCTGAGCACAGATGGCGACCACGCCTGCAGCGACAGCGACGGAAATATCAATTAATTGCTTTGATATTGGGGCAACAGAGCCCTGAAATGTCACGTTCAGCCCTGGGACTGCACTGCCTGGTGCCCAGATCCTGAGGGCATGGGGGTGCCAGGGCTCTGGGCACAAGGAGAACGTCAGATATTAATGAAATAAAGGATATTAATGAAATAAACGCTGCAGGAACACTGCTTCCCTCCTAAAAAATACCCAAGCACTCAGAAGGGGCCGCAGATATGGAATATGTACATCCCAACCCTGGAATGAGGCCGGGGGTTGTCCCCACGAGCAGAACACACCTGCCCGTGAGCCAGCCTGGCTGGGCACGGCACAATTCCCTTCCAGCCTGCCAGTGGGTGCTTCCCATCCTTCAATTCCTGGGGAAAAATGGGATTTTACAGCCCCAAGCCCCGCCTGGAGCTCTCCCCCAGCCCCAGCTGCCCTGCCATGGACACAGCCCCAGCAGGGCTGCAGGAATTCTGCAGGATTCTGGGGTGGCTGGGGAGGGGCAGGGGCGAGGGGAGAGCAGGGGGAGAGCAGGGGATGAGCCTGGCAGCCTCAGGGGCACCGGGCAGCCCGGGCTGCAGGGCTGTTATCCTCCCAAAACCAGCAAAGTTTGACATCCCCATCCCTGCAGGGGTGTTCCTGACATCCCTGCCCCTGCAGGGATGTTCTCCTGCCCAAAACCAGCAAAGTTTGACATCCCCATCCCTGCAGGGGTGTTATCCTGCCCAAAAACAGCACAGATTGACAGCCCTGTCCCTGCAGGGGTGTTCTCCTGCCTAAATCCATCACAGGTCAAGGTTCCCATCCCTGCAGGGGTGTTATCCTGCTCAAAACCAGCACAGATCAACATCCCCATCCCTGCACGTGTGTTCTCAGCATCTCCATCCTTACAGGGGTGTTCTCCTGCCTAAATCCAGCACAGATCAACGTTCCCATCCCTGCAGGGGTGTTCCTGACATCCCTGTCCCTGCAGGGATGTTCTCCTGCCCAAACCCAGCAAAGTCTGACATCCCCATCCCTACAGGCGTGTTCTCCTGCCTAAATCCATCACAGGTCAAGGTTCCCATCCCTGCAGGTGTGTTCCCAACGTTCCCATCCCTGCAGGGGTGTTCTCAGCACCTCCATCCCTGCAGGTGTGTTCTCCTGCCCAAAACCAACAAAGTTTGACACCCCCATCCCTGCAGAGGTGTTCCCAAGATCCCCATCCCTGCAGGTGTGTTCCCAACGTTCCCATCCCTGCAGGGGTGTTCTCCTGCCTAAATCCAGTCCTCGCTCCCAACCATCCCTGCAGGGATGTTCTCCTGCCCAAACCCAGCAAAGTCTGACATCCCCATCCCTGCAGGTGTGTTCCCAACGTTCCCATCCCTGCAGGGGTGTTCTCCTGCCCAAAACCAGCAGAGTTTGGCACCCCCATCCCTGCAGGGGTGTTCTCCTGCCTAAATCCAGTCCTCGCTCCCAACCACGCCCTGACCCATTTCTCTGCTCCCTCCCTGCTCCTCCCCAAAGCCAAGCCCACAAATTCTCGTGTCCACGTGGAGCACGGAGCTCTGCTGCTGTTCCAGGCAGCCCGTGAACATCTCAGCCCCAAAACACCCGAGCCTGGACAGGGACAGGGACAGGGACAGGGACAAGGACAGTGACAGGGACAGGGGCAGGGGCAGGGACAGGGACAGGGACAGGGACAGGGACAGGGACAGGGACAGGGCTCTGGGGGCTCTCCACGCCCTGATCCCCACTGCCAGAGCAGCCCCTGCCCCCGGGATGCTGCAGAGGACACGGTGGGACCCTGGCAAGCACAAGGAACAGCAATGCACAGGGGAGCTCTGAAATATTCAGCAGCCACAGAACATTCCAGCACAGACGTTCGCTGTGGGTCTGAAAAAGGAAGGGTGGGGGGAGCTGAAGAAAAGCTGGGTATAGCACTAATTATTCCTCAGCTCCTAATTAGTTGCTTGAATTTAAAATATGGATTCAGCTCCCCCAGCAGCTCAGCGAGCCCATTGTGCTATTAATACTCCCCTGGCGTGATATGGTTAAAAATACTCCCACCCTGTCAAGACAAAATGTGGCTTGGAAGTGTCACGAGGGGAGGAGTTGAGGGATGGAAATCCTCTTAAAGGAGTATGACTTCCCCAGCATCAAATAAACAAAATGAATGGCCTCGTGACAGCCCCCACAAAGGGCAGATGTGAAAATAATTCTCAGTGCAGAGCCCTCGGGCCACCCCAAACCAGAGCAGCTTCCCTGGCCCAGCCGAAGGGGAGGGGGTTTGGTTCTCCAGGAGCTCTCCTGCCTGGGGAGCAGGTGGGTTTGCAGGTTTGCAGCCCTCAGGTGCTGCAGGCTCACAGCACGAGGCTGAAGTTCTGGCCAAAAGGCAGAATTTTGAGGTGCTCCCCCCTCCTCACAGCCAGGGAAGGCAGGAGAAGCCAGAGCAGCAGCCAGAGCTGATTTTCCCTTGGAATATCTGTAGGTATTTATGGGTGGGATCTATCAGACACCAGGGGCCTCTTCCCACAGGATTTGTGAGCCAAGGAAACGAGTCTGGGGTGGGGTATTTTGATTTTTGGACTTTAATCCAGACCTGTTTCCACATTCCAGGTCCTCTCAGGACGAGGAGCATCTCCCCTCCTGTCTGCACTGACAATTCCACGTCCAAAGGGGTTAACTGCTGCTCCCTGCCCCTGGAATCTCAGCAACACCAGCACAGAAACAATTCCTGCACTTCACATTTGCCCCGTGCTTCCTCATCCCTTTTTCCCCCTACCAATTCCAGCCTGAGACAGATCAATACATAAATTAAAAGACAAAAGAACCCGACACATCCACTGTGGCTGGGAGAACAGACCAAGCCAGACTTTCTGGTGGAAAAAACATCCATCTTTTATACAATAAACCAGCAATCTGCTGCTTCGTGCCAAAATCAACACCCTCAGAAGCACCCTCGTGTGATGGGCAACACAAGGGCTTTGTTTTGATTAAATAAAAAATAAATAACCCCCCCAAGAACAACCCCCAGCCAAGGCTTTGTGTGGTGAATGTTGTCACGGGGTTGTGTTTGACACCAGCCTGAATGGGTCTGGGGGCTCTGGTGTCCCCCAGGGAGGGCTGGTGGCAGTCTCAGCACCACGTTCTGGGGTGAAAATAAGAGTTAAAGGGTAAAAAAGGAGGATTTGGGGTCTCCTGCTCAGCCAGCCCCACTTCCCATCACGCTGGAAAGGCAGGAGCATCCACAGGCTGAGCTCAGCCCGTCCTTCCTAACATGGGGGAAAGCTGGATCCCACCCAAAATGCAGCATTTCCATCTGTCTCCGTGGCTTTTTCCGAGCACAGACACCTCACACAGCCCCCCTCTGCCTCAGTTTCCCCCCTCAGCCCTTTCCCCCCCTGTTTATTCAGGAATCATCCCTGGGGTGACAAAAGTGCCTCCAACCCCAAATGCGACTGCGGGAAAACGGCTGAAAAATCCAATTGTGCCCCAAAAAAAACCCCTCGGGTGCTGCTGGCTGAGGGCACAGGAGCCCTGCTGGGCTCTGGGGGTGCATTTTGGGGGGCAGGGAGTGGGGGGAGCGCTGGGAGCTGCTGCAGCCCCCGAGGCTCTGTCCTGCCCAGCGTGGGAGGATTTCAACGTGGAGCTGAATCCCTCGTGACTGGGAGCAGGCAGGCTCCTCAGCTCAGGGATGAGACGACAAAAATTCACTTCAGAGAGCAAGAAACTTGGTTTTCCTCAGCCAGAGCGATGCTGGGGTGTTTCCAGTGGAAAAAACCCAGCGTGAGAGGGAGTGAATCCCCAGCAGCCAAAGGGATTTAGGGGGTTCTGCTCAAGGAGCTGCTGCCTGGCCTTGGGGTTGGGGCAGCACCAAGCCCCAGAGTTCCCACTGTTGGGAATCCAGATCTCACTGTTTTCCTTAAAAACATGAGAAAAAGGGGGAAGAAGAAAAAAAAAAAAACCAAACCAAAAAACCCAACAAAAACCACGAGAGCCTTACTGTAATTACAAGGAGGTTTAACACGAGTCTGGATTTGCATTAATTAAATCAACAGGGAGGCTCCAATTGAGCAAATGAGGTTTTCTGTGGATGGCAGCGAGGGCTGGGGCTGGAGTTTGGGGGTGCTGCAGGGATGTGGCCTGGCAGGGGCTGCCAGGAGGAGCGGGAGGCTCTGGGGAGCTGTGCTGACGCTGTGGGATTCCAGCTTTGGTGGGAGAGCTCAGAGGAGCCGTGGGGAGAAGGAATGTGTCCATTCACAGCCCGGCCACGCTGCAGGCACAGCTGTGAGGGGAATATCAATGGGCAGCAGCGTTTGTTTTGTTTGGGGATGGGGTTTTTTTTAATTTTAAAGCCATGGGTTTGAGTATGGGAGCAGGGCAGCACTCTGGAAGGCTTGGAGGGAACCCTGGGGGCTCCCCAAAGGAACGGGGCTGGGGTTTGCTCCCCTCATCCCTGAGAAACAAAATCCCCCTGGATGTGGGGTGCAACACCCCAGAGCTCACCTCCAACCCCAGCTGAGCCAGGGTGGGTGCAGATCCCCTCAGGGGTAACCCTGAACTGCTGCCCTGTGCCACAGCACCTGCAGGTGAGGTTGGGCAGCAGCCGGGGCACCTGAGAGCATCGGGGTGAGCCTGGGAGAGACCCCAGAGCAGCAGGGGAACCCCAGCCCCTTCCTCACCACCTCCAGCCCTTCCTCACCACCTCCAGCCCAGCAGAGCAACCCCAGCCTCTTCCTCATCCTCATCAGCCCCTTCCTTACCACCTCCAGCCTCTTCCTCATCATCACCAGCCCCTTCCTCATCATCACCAGCCCCTTCCTCACCATCACCAGCCCTTCCTCATCATCACCAGCCCAGCAGAGCACGAGCAGCAGGGGAACCCCAGCCCTTCCTCACCACCTCCAGCCCCTTCCTCACCACCTCCAGCCCCTTCCTCATCATTACCAGCCCCTCCTCATCATCACCAGCCCCTTCCTCACCATCACCAGCCCTTCCTCATCATCACCAGCCCAGCAGAGCAACCTCAGCCCCTTCCTCACCATCTCCAGCCCCTTCCTCACCACCTCCAGCCCCTTCCTCACCATTTCCCAGCCCCAGCAGAGCAATGTGTGCTGGGTCTGGGCTGGGCAGGGTTAATTTCAGCGCACAGGCCGGGCTGGGGCCGTGTTTGGGTTTGTGCTGCAGGCAGGGTTGGTGACACAAAGATGTTTTGTTGTGTCTGAGCAGCCTTTGAACAGAGCCAAGGCCTCTCCTGCTCCTGGGTCACCCCCAGGGACAGGGCTGGGGGTGCAGGGGGGGTTTGGAGGGGACACAGCTGGGACAGGTGACCCCAGCTGAGCCCAGGGGTGTCCCAGACCATGCTCAGGGTAAAAACCAGGAGGAAGAAGGGTGAACAGGGGCACTGGGAGTGATGGGTTTGTCTGCCCAGCTCACCTTTGGGGGTGGCTGAGCCCCTGGGAATGAATCCCTGCTCTTGGGAAGGGGAAATGAATTCCTGGGAGTGAATCCCTGCCCTTGGGAAGGGGGGAATGAATCCCTGGGAATGGGTCCCTGCTCTTGGGAATTGGGGAATGAATTCCTGGCTTCCCCCTGCTTGCTCACACAGCTTTTCCTTTCCCTATTATCTTATTTTTATTATATTGTTATAATATTACATACAATAATTATATATAATAATTTTTTAAAATATATAATAGATATTAGTTATACAGAATTAATTCCATATAATAATTATTGTGTTATTATATATCTTTATTTCCTGCAGGTTTGCTCAGCCCTGTGGCTCTCTCCCCATCCCTGGGGCTGGGACTGGAGCATTCCAGGGAAATCCAGAACACAGACACGCAGTGCCTGCCCTGCCCCGGGGCTTTTTTGGTCTCTTTCCTGGCAGGATTTCTGTTCAGGGGCACAAACCCCCCTGGGATGCGGTGCTGGCTCTGCTGGCGCTCTGTCACCGCTGTCGCCTGCAGCTCCTCTGCGGGACGGCAGGGGACGGAGCCGCCGCCGCCGCGGGGACAATGGGGACAGAGGCTCCTCTCCCAGCGCAGAGACATCCCTGCAGCTCCCCGGGCTCCAGCCCTTCCTCGGGACGGCTGGGGATCGCACCCCCCTCCAAAAGCACCCCGACATCTCCGCGATGTGCTGCAGGTGCTTCCAAAGCGTTATTGCCGCTGCCAGCACGCCCCTGGTGACAGGAGTGTCACTGCCCGTGCTGCACAGCCAGAGGGGCTGCTTCCCTTCCGACCCCATCCCATCCCACCCCATCCCCTCCCATCCCATCCCATCCCATCCCATCCCATCCCATGCATCCTCCTTCCTTCCCGCGTGCACTCAGCCATCTGCAGAGCTCTGCAGGACAATTCTGGGATTCCCCTTCCCCTCTGCAGGACAATTTTGGGATTCCCCTTTCCCTCTGCAGGACAATTTTGGGATTCCCCTTTCCCTCTGCAGGACAATTTTGGGATTCCCCTTTCCCTCTGCAGGACAATTTTGGGATTTTCCTTTCCCTCGTGCTGGCAGCCCTGATGCTGCATCTCTTCCAGCCGTGGCCGAACCACCCCCAGCCCACAACAAAGCTGGGGACGGTCTTTAAAGGCCCTCCCAACCCACCCCGCTGTGCTTTTATCAACTTGTGACAGCCAGCTCGGTTTTTATCCCTGGGGATTTTATTCCCTCAGCCCTCAGGGCAGGCACACGAGCAGGGAGGGCTCTGCTGGCACATCCCCTGAGCACCTCGGGCACACCAGCGCTGTGCCCAGGTCCTGCTGGGCTCAGGGCTCCTCCTGCCCTTCCTGGCAAGGAGGAGTCACTCTGTCACGCTGTCACTCTGTCTCTCTGTCACTCCCCAGCTGCCAGCAGAGCCCTCGGAGCAGCTACAGGCGCGAGCGGCCGAACGGCGCAGCCGGAGCCACCGAGTCCCCAACGCCTTCCAGGAGCTCGTCCCACTGCCCAAACTGCTCCTGCAGCTCTGCACGGGGCACAGGGGGTGCCAGGGTTAGCACAGCCACCCCTGCAGGTGACAGGGCCACCACAGCTTCCCCTGCAGGTGACAGGGCCACCATAACCTCTCCAGGTGACAGGGCCACCACAGCCTCCCTCCAGGTGACAGGGCCACCACAGCCTGGCCAGCAGCCCCTGAGGGGCAGCCACTGCCCCCCTGTGCTTTGGGAAGCCCCAAGCCCCAGAGCCCCCCCAAAGCAGGGAGCCCCCCGAGCCCAGCCTGCCCCCCAGCCCGTACTCAGGTGCCTGTGCAGGAAGGCCAGAGCTGCCTGGCTGCTGATGGCCAGAGCCCTGCGGGGCTCCAGCGTGCCCCTCCTGCCGAAGATGAGGCTGAAGAGCTTCCCAGGGAGGAAGGCAAAGTCGGTCTGGTCCTCGTGCACGGTTCCCCTGGGCAGGGAGGGGCGTGCATCAGGGGGAGGTGCAGCAGGACCCCCGCAGGTTTTCCTGCTGGGGCACCCACGGGTGCTCCCTGCAGTGGGGGGGTGCCAGCCCCTGGCTCACAGCACGGTCACAATCCTCGTCTGGCTGTTCCTGGAGCTCAGCCCCTTCATCTTGGCCACGCTCTCCGGGGTCTGGAACTTCTCGGTGTTGATGAAGAGCACAGGACTGGGCACCTCCGGGTACAGCAGCTTCTCCAGAGGGAACATCCAGGCATCCAGAGCCACAGCACACCTGGAGCAGGGCAGGCACCACCACGGCTCCCCTCCCTGCCAGGATGAGCCCAGGGCGTGTCCCCGGAGCCTCTGCAGCCCCTGCCACGCCTCACCTGAAGCTGGGCTCCTTCACCAAGGCCAGCACCGCTGTCACCCCCCCGAAGGAATGGCCCATGACGGCCACTTTGCTCAGATCAAGGTTGTCCTGCAAAAGGGAGAGGGCTGAGGGGTCTGAGCCCAAACCTCACGGCTGGAGGTCTCTGATTAGGGAAGAAAAAGCCAAGGGAAGGTGAGCAGTGCCCCTGGCAGGGGGAGTGCCGTGTCCCACTGCTGGTGTGAGGAGCTCGGGCTGCCCGCAGAGGAGAGGCTGCAGGGAGCCCGGGGTGGGAAGGCTGGGGCTCTGCACAGACCCTTCTTGTGCCTGCAGGAAAAGTCCCAGGCAGCCAGGAGTGATGCTGGGGCACCCAGAGCCCCCCCAGGCAGAGGCAGGTACCTTCAGCACGGAGAGATCCCAGTCCTGGGGGAGGATGCTGGGGACAGATCTGCCGCCGGCGATGCTCTGGAAGAGCCGCAGCGCCCGCACGCACTCCTGAGCTCTCAGGTGAACCTGGAACCACCCCGGGTGAACCCAGCTGCTGCACCCCACAAACCCGGGTCACACCTTCCCCCCAGAGCCCACCCAGGCCCGTTCCTGCAGTGCTTCTCTCCCACGGGGCTCTCCCTGGACTGCAGCACAGGCCAGAGCGGCGCTGCGGCTCCCGCGGGATGCAGCGTTTATTGGGATGGGGTTTTTTGGTGTTTGCTCTTAATTCAGCTAATCTGGCAGCAGACGGCTGGAGAGGACCTAAAGTCTCTGCTCTGGGGAGGAAGCAGAGGAGGGAGAGCCCGGGATCCTCACCAGCTTCTCCCCAGCTGAGCCATCCCCTGCTCCAACCCCCCCCAGAGCCCCTAAGCCAGGAGCAAACCTAAAACCCAGCTCAGGAGCACCACCCAGGAGCATCTTAAAATCCCAAATGATTCAGGGACAGGATGCCCTGACTTGGAGCCACTTTGAGGCCACGTCCTCAGCTGCCCTAAGGACACCAGTGCTGCTGTCTGTGCACATTTAAGGTGACAAGTGACAAAAATCTCCAGTGAAAACCTCTCTCCTGCTCTCTGCAACACAGAAAATGCCACCATGGAGACTGACCTGGCAACTATTTCCTTCTATCTATCATTTATTTCTCTTTCATTTATTTCTCTTTCTCCCTCACCATTTCTGCTGGTGGGTTCAGGAGACCTGTTTCCCTTTTCTGTGCAATGTGCCATGAGGCAGAGCACACACAAAAATAACAGGCTGGGAGGTGATTTAAGGCTGCCAAAAGCACCTCCGTTCCTAGAGAGCTTTTCCACGACTAATCTTCACTTGCTGTTGTCCTTTTAAATGAGGCAGAAACAAACAGAGGGGGGGAGCTTGGCTCAGCAGGAAACCTTCCTGCTCCCCAGCAAGCAGCTGTCCGGGATAATCCCAGAGAGACAAAAATCCCAGTGGGAACAAACCCGGCAGCTGGTGCAGAGCTGGGCTGGGCAGAGTCCTGCTCTCCCCAGGGCGTGGGGGACATGGCAAAGCCCAGCCTGGCTCCTGCCAGGACAGACAGACCCCAGGAAACACAGAAACAGGCTGAACAGACTTCTCTCATCTCCCAGGAGAAAGCTCAGCACCGTGGCCATACAGCACTGGGAAGAGCATCCCCAAGGATGCAGGGCCAGCCTGGCCTGCAGGAGGAATTCCAGACCTCCCCTCTGCCCACGCTGGACCCCGTGCCCTGGTACCTGCTTGTTTCGGAAATAAAACTCCTTCTGCCCTTGGGGCACCCTCTGGAAGGGGATCCACTCCTCCGTGCCAGCCTCTGCCGGGCAGAAATAGGTGGTGGCAGCAGAGTGGTCCCTGTGGGGGCAGGAGGGAAGGGGACACCCGATGGCACGACGTGCCACCAGCCCCAGCTCGAACCTGGTGGTGACCCGGGCACCCACCTGTGCTCCAGCGCTGCCACCACGAAGCCCCAGGACGCCAGCTCCGTGCAGATGGAAGAGTACAAGGTCCTGGAAGGGAGACGGGAGCACGGGGCTCGGGGCAGGCCGTGCAGGGTCCCCACACCCCTGTGGCAGCCCTGCTCGGGGCTCACCTTACCGAAAGGCCCCCAGGCCGTGGGAGAAGATGATCAGGGGGTACCCGCTGCTGCGGGGCTTGAGGGGCCCGTTCCAGCTCACCGGGACTTTGCAGGAGCCTGCGGGGACGAGAAGCCCCCAGGACGGGGTGGGGGACACGGGCGGTGGGTGCCACAGCGCCCGCTCAGCCCCAGCTCCCCCTGCAGCACCCCCGAAGGACCGGGGGGCCCCCAGGGTGGGGCGGGGGTGTCCCCCTCACCGATGGCGACGCCGAGCAGGGCGGAGCACCAGCGGCGACCCAGGGTGACATCGGCCAGGCCCCCGCAGTACTCGGGGCGAGGCACCCAGAGCGGCTCCGTGGCCCCTGCCCGGGGCAGGCACGGGTAGAAGAGGCGGAGGAAAAGCCCCTGAAGGGAGACAAGGAAGGGGGGACACAGTGGGGACGGCACAGGAGGTGTGGAGTGTCCAAAACCTGCACCACCTCGCTCTGCAGGGAAGCGTGTCCCTGTGCCCATCGTCACCGCTGTCCCCACGCCCGTACCTGCCGCGTGTGGCCCACCATGACATCCGTGCAGCCCACCTGGTGGGGTCCCTGCCCCGGGGGCAGCGCCAGCATCCCCCCCATGCTGCCGCAGCCAGCCTGGGCAGAGACACGGGGTCAGTGTCTGTCCCCCACCCCAGAGACCCCAACCCGCTCCCTCCTCCCTTCCCCACCCCTCTCCCATTGCCCAGCGACCCCCAGTTCCACCCCCTCCCATTTCCACCCCCTGGGGGCTGCTCAGGGATGAGACCCCCCCCGTTCCTCTCCCCACGGGCAGCCACAGAGGGGACAGCCCTGCGGAGGGGTCAGTGCGGGGCTGCCACCACGGCAGGACTACAGCTTCCAGCAGCGCCCGGGGCTGCGGAACCACGGCTCCCAGTACGGCCCCGGCCCGGGACCACAGCTCCCAGTATGCGCTGGGAGCCGGACTACAGCTCCCAGTACGCGCAGCAGGCTGCAGCTCCCAGCGCTTCTCCGAGCAGCTCCCAGCGCTCCCCCCAGCGCCCCCCGCCACCATCGCAGCTCCCAGTTGTCCCCCAGTTCCCGGTGACGCCCGGCTCCCAGCGCTCCTGACAGTTCCAGTGCTCCCCGCAGCTCCCAGTGCCTCCCAGTTTCACTCCCAGTGCCTCCCAGTTTCACTCCCAGTGCCTCCCCAGGAGCTCCCAGTGCTCCTCCCGAGCTGCCAGGGCTCTCCCGGCTCCAAGTTTCCCCGTGTGCCTTCCCAGTTACCGCTGCCCAGTGCCCCCCAGTGTCCCCCTCCCCACGCACCAGTACCGCGCTCACAGCTCCCAGCACGCCCAGTGAACTCTGCCCCGGCGCTCCCAGTGCCTCCCGTGCTCCTGGACTTCAGCTCCCAGTAGCCACCAGGACAGGACACGGTGGCACCAGCGCGAAATCACAGCTGCCGGTGACACCAGTACAGGACACTGCTCCCAGTTCCACCAGCACAAAACCACAGCTCCCAGTAGCCACCAGTACAGGACACGGTGGCACCAGCACGAAGCCACATCTCCCAGTGACACCAGGACAGGACACAGCTCCCGGTGTCACCAGGACAGGACACGACTCCCGGTGTCACCAGCACGAAATCACGGCTCCCAGTGTCACCAGTTCAGGGCACACTCCCAGTCCCCCCGAGCCCGGGGCTGCCCTGCCCGTGTCTGCACCCAGCCGGGTCCCTGTCCCCAGGACTGTCCCCCTGTCCCCCCCAGAGGCCGGCGGTGCCCCGGGGCTCTCGCTGCCCATCCCCACGTTCCCGTCCTCTGCTTAATCCTCTTTGGGAGCTCAAGCAGCCCCCGGTCCCCAGTAATCCCCTCTGCGGCCGGGGATTAATTCCCTGCGGGGCCGAGCCGGCCAGGCTGCCGAATAAACACCCGAAGATTCGGTGAAAACCGCTGTGCCAAGCTCCCCCCCCACAGCCCCGCTCCCTGGCTGACCGGGGAAACTGAGGCACGCAGCGAGCGCTGGACAGAGCCCTGGATTGTCACAGCCCGTGTCCCCCGGGGCTGGGGCAGGGAGCCGCACCGCAGCCCGTGCCCGGATCCAGGCGCAGGCGGAGGCTGCCCGGGCTGTCCCGCTCCGGTCCCGGCTTGCCCGGCCGGCGGGGCCCGGCGAGGGCGGCGGCCGCGGATGCCGGGACGGGGCGGGAGAGACGAGCCCCGACCTGTCCCAGCCCAGCCCGGCTCCGGGAATGGGGTCAGCCCCCCCAGCACCCCCAGATCACCCCGGCAAAGCCACCCCGGGAGTGGGTCCTGCGCGGAGTGGCGGTGACAGCTCGGCCGTCCTGCTCTTGCTTCAGAGCGAGCGCGGCGGGACCGGGGGTGCGCTGGGGAGCCCCGGGGGGCTGGTTCTGCGGGGACCCCGCACTGGGCTCACTGGGACCACAGGGACCGTCTGGGCTGGGCCAGGCCAGGCTGGGACCGAGCTCTGTCCCCTGGGACACACGGGGACACAGGGACACGGGGACACGGGGACACGGGGGACAAGGGGACACAGGGACACGGGGGACAAGGGGACACAGGGACAGGGGGACAGGGGGGACACAGGGCCAGGGACACAGAGGGACAGGGGGACAGAGGGACAAGGGGACATGGGGACAGAGGGACGGGGGACATGGGGACGTGACCCCCAGAAATACACGGCGGGGACAGGGGGACACAGAGGGACAGAAGTCCATGGGGACAGGGGGACACGGGGGGACACAGGGACAGGGGTCCATGGGGACAAGGAGACAAGGGGACAGAGGGACACGGGTACAGGGGGACAGAGGGACAGGGGGACACGGGGGGACAGGGGGTCGGTCCCCCCTCAGCCCCGGCCCCCCGGGGATCCCCCCCGTCCCACGTGGGCGCGGCCAATGGGGGCGCGCGGCGGGGGCGGGGCTCCGCCGGACACGCCCACTCATTTGAGCGGAGAGCCAATGGGAGGCCGGGGGCGGGGCAATCCGGGGAAGGGGCGGGGGGCACGTGGAGCGCAGGGGGACAGGGGACCCCCGGGACCGGGGACACAGGGACACGGGGACAGCCACACGGGCTCGGGGACAGCCAGCCCCGCGGGGACTGACCGACGGACAGCGCACAGCCAGCCCCCCGAGGGACAGGGGACAGCCAGCCCTGGGCGGGACAGACGCACGGACGGACGAGGGACAGCCAGATCTGGGAGGGGACAGGGGACAGACAGTCCCGAAAGGACAGACGGACAGGGAACAGCCAGCTCCGAGGGGGGCAGGGGACAGCGGGACAGTTAGCCCCGGAGGGGACAGACAGACGGACAAGGGACAGTCCCGGGGAGGGACAGGAGGACAGCGGAGAGCAGCCGGGGTCTTGGACAGGCACCGGGGGCACGCGGGAACAGAGAGCCCAGCGCAGGGACAGACGGACAAGGTGACAAGGGAGACAGACGGACAGAGAGCCCAGCGCAGGGACAGACGGACAGACCCCGGGAGCGGGGCTGTGCCGAGCCTCCCGCGGCGGCTCCTCCGCACCGGGAGCCCGGCGGGGCCGCCCGGGGCCGGCCGGGGATGCAGCCCGGAGCCGCGGGCGGGCGGCGATCGGGGCTCCGGGACACGGCGGCCCCGCCCCCCCCCCCGGCCGCGAGCCCCCGAAGGTAACGGGGGGACCGGGGGGAAGGAGCAGGGAGGGAGGGAGGGGGCTCCGGGGCTGCGGGAGGGTTTGTTCCCAGGGTTTTATTCCCCGGGGAGCTGGGGAGGGGAGTCCCGCCGCAGGGATGTGTGGAGCCACTTGTGGTGACATGGCTGGCGGCGGCAGGACGGTGGCGACGCGACCTCTCCCTTTCTCCAGGGATTTGAAGCTGGGTCAAGCGATGGAAATGTCATTGTCGCGGCTCGGGGGCCCGGAGAAGTGAGCGGCTGGGACAGCGGGGCACCGGGCTCTGCTCTGCAGCCAGACACCGGGACTGTCCCGAGAAAGCAGCGGGCAGAAAGGGGGACTGTCACAGCACGCAGGACAGCACCTGGGGCCAGGAGCCGTCCCACCACCCACTCGGGGCTGGGAACGTCGGCCTCTTGACCGGACTCTGGCACCCACCTGAGCCCGATGAGGAGCTGGGGCTGCGTGTGAACCTATGCAGACCAGGAAGAAATACATTTTCCTGACTTTCCTTGCCTCTTGGCTCCTGCTTTTCTTCTTTGGAGGGGATCAGCTGCGCCGTTTCGCTTTCTTTTCCGGGAGGAAAGCAGAAGCCCGGAGGAGCTGGCCCCGCTGGACGGATCGATCCCTCCTCAAGAGCTTTGCAGACCCCGAGGAGCTGCAGAGGGATGGGGACCCTTCCCTGCTGTCCCCCCGGGAGCGACGGGCGGCGTGGCTGAGCCTCTACAGCGGCAGCAGCTGCCGGATGGAAACCTGCTTCGACCTCTCCAGGTGCCAGAGGAACGGCTTCAAGGTGTTCACCTACCCCCAGGAGCGGGGCCAGCCGCTCTCGGAGACCTACAGCAAAATCCTCAGCTCCATCGAGCGCTCCCGCTACCACACGCGGCGGCCGGAGGAAGCGTGCCTCTTCATCCTCAGCATCGACACGCTGGACCGCGACCGCCTCTCGGGCCAGTACGTCCGCGACGTGGACGAGAAAATCCGCGGCTTCCCGCTCTGGAACGGCGGCCGCAACCACCTCATCTTCAACCTCTACTCGGGCACCTGGCCCGGCTACACCGGGGAGCTGGGCTTCGACACGGGCCAGGCCATCCTGGCCAGAGCCAGCTTCGACAGCCGCAGTTTCCGCCCCGGCTTCGACGTCTCCATCCCTCTGTTCCCCAAGGAGCACCCGCAGCGCGGCGGGGACGCGGGGTGGCTGCGGCAGGACTCGGTGCCCCCCAGAAAGAAATACCTGCTGGTGTTCAAGGGGAAGAGGTACCTGACGGGCATCGGCTCCGGCACGCGGAACGCGCTGCACCACATCCACAACGGCAAGGACATCATCTCCCTCACCACCTGCAAGCACGGCAAGGACTGGGAGAAGCACAAGGACACGCGCTGCGACAAGGACAACGTGGACTATGAAAGGTGAGCAGGAGGTGGGTGGGAAAGGGGGCTCTGGGGTGATGGGACACCCAAGAAACGTCCCTGCCTCTCTGCGGGGTGCAGCTGTGACAATCTGTGGTGGCTGGGCCCCTGGAGAGGGAGGTTTTGGGCTCTCCTGAAGGGGATGAGGGTTTCGTGGCACGGTGGGGAGCGAGGCGCTGTCTGCTCAGGGCTTTCTGCTCTGTATTAAAGTTGGAGCAATCTGGCGAGAGCAGCTCTTATCTGCAATCGCTGCCACCGCCTCTAATACGATTTCCCTTTTTCCAAATGCTGGTGAATGACGCTTTTCTTCTCCCCCCTCCCGCTCTCCCCCAACATAAACGTTTCTCTTGGAGATGAGCCCGAGCCATCCCCCCCTCACTGGCTCCACTGAAAATCCCACAAAACTGGCGGGTCTGCGGGCGTCCCAGTGTGGGCAGCTTCATTGGTGCTGGTGGGTGGGGGTCCCCCTGCGTCCCCCATCAGAAATGGACACGGTGGCAGCAGCGTGGGGTGGACACAGTGGTGGAAAAATTGGGGGTACAAAGTTCTGTGAGTTTGGGGGCTCCATTCTGTAAGGACACATCCTCACCTCCCCATCCAACTACTTGGGACCCATCATAGCTGCTGAATCCAGGGCTGGTAAACACAGAGCCCATCCCACAGACAATGGGCAGGTGCCCATCCCACTGCCTGGGGACATCCCCCAGCCACCCAGCTGGAGAGCAGATGGGGAGAGGCCACGCTGGGCATCATCCTCAAAGCGTCTTAGGAGGTTCTGGGAGGTAAAAGTGGAACTGGGGTGCTGGCACTGGGATTAGCCGGGGCTTTGGGATGGGTCAGGCACCACATGGCCCTGTCTGGAGGGTGCCCCCAGCCCAGCAGGGTCAGCACTTGCAGCAAAGTGTCCTTGGGATGGGGCAGCTCAGGACAGCGGGGTTGGCAGGACAGGAGGCCCAAGGTCAGCCCCACGCCGTGCCAAGGGGCAGCGGGATGAGAATTCCCCCCATCCGCCCACCCAGGTAATCCCCTAATGCTGTTTGCAAACACAGGGAGATTTACACCTCTCCCAGGATGGCTTTGGCCAGGGGATCTATGTGGAACACGTGGCAGGGGCAGTGTGCTCTGTGTGACCCCTGCTGCCCTGCTCGTCCCTGTGGGACACCGGGCACAAACCCCTGGCATTGCCACCAGGGCCAGCTCTGTCCCTGTGGGACACTGAGCACAAACCCCTGGCATTGCCACCAGGGCCAGCTCTGTCCCTGTGGGACACCCCCCAGCATGGCCCCGGGGCCAGCTCTGCCCGACCTGCCCTCCTGCCCGGGGAGGTGTGCCACACTCGGGCAGGGGACAGGCCAGCAGGGAGGGGACAGAGTGAGACCCCGGTGCCCCGTTCACCCGGTGTGTCGGGGGCTGGCACGGTGGAACCCCCGAGGAGCAGAGGAAGGCCCTGCTGGGGGTCCCATCATCCTCCTCACGCCCGAGGGGCTGCCCCGAACAATCCGGTTGTGTTCTGGGATAAAGGGCGGCTTGTGGCGGAGCGGCCCCGCTGCCCCGCGCCCGCAGCAGCCGGCGCGGGCCGGGAGAGGCTCTGCGGAGCCGCCGGTGCCGGTGGCACCGTGCCCGGCCGGAGCCGCGGAGGGGCCTGCCGAGGGGAGCGCGGCGGGCGCCCGTCCCGGCTGCTGACAAAACAAGGAAGCCCTGACGGCGATTGCCCGGAAACCGCAGCGAGTGTTTCCAGCGGGAGCCTTCGGCCCCGCAGCCCGGCCGGCGCCGGCCCCGCCGCACCGGCTGCCGCCGAGGGCAATGCCCCCCGGACCCGCTGCCCACCCGGCCCCGGCAGCGGGAAAGGCTCCCCGGAGCTGGCGGGGCTCACGGCAGGGTCTGGGGTCCCCAGGAGATGTGACAGCCCGGTGTGGCCCCGGGGATGTGGCTGTCGCTGCTGTGGTTTCATGGGGTTTGAGGTGTCACCCCTCCGGCTGCCTGCCGGGAGTTTGGGGGTTAAAGGGGTCAAGGATTTTGGCATCCTTGGAGACACTGGGGAGGTTGATCCAGAGGCGGATTTTATTGTGAAACTCGGTGCCTTGGCATTGGGGCTGATTTCCCACATCCCGGAGCACTGGGACGTGCCAGAGAGCTCCGGCACCCGCGGGGGTGGCACAGCCTCAGCTCCCAGCCTGGCACCAGCGCTGCGTCCCCACCGCGGGGACACCCTTCCTCCGGGGACCAGCACATTGCAAGGGCTCTTTCTGGCCTCTCAGCCACCCGGCTGGACCACGAGAGTCCCCCCAGCCCCTGCAGGGCCGGCTGCCCCTCCCCGCGGGCAGGAACAGACGGGGTCTGTCCCGACCTAAAGTCAATATTGGATTTTCCGGCGTGGCCGCAGGGACCCGGCAGCAGCCGAGCCTCTCCCAGCACGGCACAGAAGGGGCTTTGAGAGCCCCACGGGCCGGGGGGGCCGCGCTGCCGGCACCCACTGCCCCCCCGGACGCTGCCAGGGCAGGCAGGGCCGGTCCTGCCCGGCGAGTCTGGGCACGGCACAGGAGTCGCTGCAGTTTCGGGCTCGGGGGCTCGGGTGGTGGCTGTGCGTGGGGTGTCACTGCTGCAGGCTGGGAGGAGCTGGGTCGTGCTTTCAAAGGGCACTGGGGTCCCTTCCTGAGCCCCCCTGTTTAAGGGATGCCCAGGTTTATCCCTTCAGCACCCAGGAGATCTCTGCTCCCACAAAACCGGGGATGTTCAGAGCCAAAATCAGTCCAAACCGATCCTGACCCTGCCCCGGGCTGGCTCCACACCTGGCAGGTGCCAGCAGCGCCTCCCGGGGTCTCACAGGAGGGGAGGGGGCCATGCCTGACCCCCAGCCCATCTCCCACGCCAGGTTTGACTACCAGGAGCTGCTGCACAACTCCACCTTCTGCATCGTGCCCCGGGGCAGGCGCCTGGGCTCCTTCCGCTTCCTCGAGGCTCTGCAGGTACAGGGTGGGCAGGGGGCCGGGGCACCCCCTCAGCGGGGTCTGGGGGCTCTGTCCCAGCCTGCGGGGTCCCTCCACAGGCCGCCTGCATCCCGGTGCTGCTGAGTGATGGCTGGGAGCTGCCCTTTGCTGAGGCCATCGACTGGGGCAGAGCTGCTGTCGTGGGCAGCGAGAGGCTCCTGCTGCAGGTACCGTGCCCAGATTCTGCCAGCCGCAGACCCCAGTGCCAGTGCCAGCGCTGGTGGAGCCCCCAGCCCAGTCTGGGGGTGAGCCCCCTGCAGCTGAGCCTGGCACTGCTCCTGTGGGCAGCTGCAGGGGGGTCTGGGCCAGCCTGGAACGGGGGTCCCACCCCTGCTGCACTCCCTGTTCATCTCGGGGGGAAGGTGGGAAGGATCCTCCCGGGCACAAACCCTTGGGAATGCCGGGGCTGACCCCGCTCCAGGGAGAGGAGATGCAGCCCCACAGGGGGAGGGTGGCACCCACAGCAGGGCTGTCCCGTGGGGTGGCTGGAGGGGACAGAGGAGCCCAGGTGAGCACCCGCTGCTGCCCCGGCACAGATCCCCTCGGCCGTGCGCTGCATCCCCCCCGAGCGCGTGCTGGCCTTCCAGCAGCAGACCCAGCTCCTGTGGGACGCCTACTTCTCCTCCGTGGACAAGATCGTGCACACCACGCTGGAGGTGAGCCCCCCCCACCCCGAAACCCCCTTCCCCAGCTGCCGGGGTGGCCGCGGGGGTGCCGGGAGCATCACTCGGGCCTCCGGCAGATCATCAAGGACCGGCTGTCTCCGCACCGCTCCCGCTCCCGCTTCCTCTGGAACGCGCTGCCCGGGGGGCTCCTGGTCCTGCCCGAATTCTCCACCCACCTCGGGGATTTTCCCTTCTACTACCTGCGGCACGGTAGGACCCTGCCTGCCCCGGCTGAGCCCCGCAAACTCGGGGCGTGCCCAGCACCTTTCCTCTCCCTTTCCCACCCTTTTTTTTTCAGGCTACAGCCCCTCCAAGAAGTTCACGGCTCTCATCCGGGTGGTCTCGCAAGCGGGGTCGCTGTCCCAGCCCATCCTCAGGCTCATCCAAGCCGTCTCTGGATCGCAGCACTGCGCCCAGGTGGGAGGAGCAGAGTCCCGAGCGTGCCGGAGCAGCCCCCGGGGATCCGGGGGGATGCTGGGGCTGGTCCTGCGGGCCGCAGAGGGCATGGCTGGGTTTAGGGGTTCAGGGGTTGGCTGGTGGTGTCACCCTTGGGCGGGCAGAGCTGTGTCCCAAGCCCTTTGGGGCGGGATCACCTGGGGGTTTATCCTGGTCCAAACTGCCACGAGGTGATTTTGGGACGGTCTGGGCTGGAGCAGAGAACCCACCCAACCCCTCCGGCCACATCTGTCCCCCTCCCCTTGCAGATCGTGGTCCTGTGGAGCTGCGAGAAGCCACCACCCCCGAGCGGGAAATGGCCCCAGAGCAGCGTGCCCCTGACCATCGTCCGGGGCAGGGGGAAGGTGAGCGGGGCAGGGGGCTGGGACAGGGACAGGGACAGGGGCAGGGGTTGGGACAGGGACAGGGACAGGGACAGGGGCTGGGACAGGGACAGGGGCTGGGACACGGGCAGGGGCTGGGACAGGGACAGGGGCTGGGACACGGACAGGGGCTGGGACAGGGGCAGGGAGCAGGACACGGGCAGGGGCTGGGACAGGGACAGGGAGCAGGACACGGGCAGGGGCTGGGACACGAGCAGGGACAGGGGCAGGGGCTGGGACAGGGACAGGGGCTGGGACACGAGCAGGGACACGGGCAGGGAACAGGGACAGGGGCAGGGGGCTGGGACACTGCCAGGGATCAGGGACACTGCCAGGGGGCTGGAGCAGCCACCCCAGGGCACCAAGCTGTCCTTCCTCCCCCCACAGCTCAGCGACCGCTTCTTCCCCTTCGGGGCCATCCAGACGGACGCGGTGCTGAGCCTGGACGAGGACACCAGCCTCTCCACCAGCGAGGTGAGGCCACGGCCCCGCGTCCCTCGGATGCTCAGCGCTCACCACAGGCTGTCCCCGTGTCCCCTCCCGCGGGTGGCACCGCGTGGGTGACACCGTGCCCCTCCCGTGCCAGGTGGACTTTGCCTTCTCGGTGTGGCGCAGCTTCCCCGAGCGCATCGTGGGCTTCCCCACGCTGAGCCACTTCTGGGACCCCGAGCAGGGCCGCTGGGGCTACACCTCCAAATGGACCAACGAGCTCTCCATCGTCCTCACCGCCGCCGCCTTCTACCACCGGTACCGGCCGGGGAGGGGCTGCGGGGGCCGGGGGGCTCTGCCCCATCCCCTCACCCCGTCCGTCCTCCCCCCAGGTACTACCACAGCCTCTTCACCGAGTACCTGCCCGCGGGGCTGCGGGAGCTGGTGGACGGGCTGGCCGCCTGCGAGGACATCCTGATGAACGTGCTGGTGGCCGCTGTCACCAAGCTGCCGCCCATCAAGGTGACCCAGCGCAAGCAGCTGAAGGAGGGGGTGGCCCAGCCGGCGGGGTGCAGCCATGGGGCCGCGGGGACCCCCCCGGCCCCGCGCTCCGCTCCTGCCCGGCCGGAGGGCACGGCGGGCAGCCCGCGCTCCTCCCAGCGCCGGGGCTGCCTCGACCAGTTGGCAAACTGGTTTGGCTACATGCCCCTGGTGCCCTCCCAGCTGCGCCTCGACCCCGTCCTCTTCAAGGACCAGGTCTCCGTCCTGCGCAAGAAATACCCGAGCTTGGAGAAGCCGTGAGGGCTCCGGGGTCGGGGCGAGCTCCCGGTGCCGCTCCCGGTGCTCGGAGCCCTCCGGGGGCGGGCTCGCTGCTGACGGGGTTTTACTCGTTATTGGGTTTTTTTTACCAGTGCAATAAAGGAAGGGGGAGAGGTAGGATGCGGATGGTGGCTGTGGGGTGTGGGGGAGCCCCGGGAGCCCCGGGAGCCCCAGCTTTTGGCTGCTCCAACTCTTCTGCCATCGGCACCCTGGGAATAGCCCGGGCAGCCCCCCCAGCCCTGCGGGGAGGGAGAGTCCTTCAGCTTCCCGAGAGCAAACAGAGGAGCGATAAGAGCTGCGTGTGACCTCCCTCGCTGGCTCCAGCTGCGTGTCCCGCAGTCCCCGGGCAGCCCAGCGCGCCCCGGAGGAGGGAAAAGGAGTGTTTCAGCGGCACTGAATAGAAACACGGAATATCAGGTGGCCTCCAACAGGCACCGTGAGCTGCCGCAGCCCTGGGTCTGTCCTTGGCTCCTGCCGATAGCGGAGATAACAGCCAGAGCCAGCATCCCCCCCGCGGGCTCTGCTTTATTTGCCGCAGGAAAAGCGGCCCGGGCGGGGCGGGGGTCAGTCGCGGGGGGGCTGGCACTCCCGGCACTCCCGCATCTCCTCGGAGAAGCTCTCCACCTGGATGGTGGTGCTGTGGAAGCGGAAGGCGCCCTGCAGCCGGGAGCTCGCCTCCTCCAGCACCTCCTGCGCGCTGGCAGCCGCGTCTGCGAGGGGAGGAGCGGGGGCTGTGGGGGTGCGGGGGGACCCCGGCCCTCGGTGCCACCCCCTGAGGGAGGGGTGCACCGAGAGCAGCGGCTCTGGCAGCCCTGTCCCCCCACTGTGACACTCCCTGGTGGCTCTGGCACCCCTGTCCCCGTGTTGTGACACTCACTGATGGCTCTGTCCCCTGCTTCGGCACTCCCTGGTGGCTCTGTCCTCCTCTGTGACACTCACTGGCAGCCCTGTCCCCCTCTGTGACACTCACTAATGGCTCTGTCCCCCCGCTGTGACCCTCATGGTGTCCCTGTCCCCCTGTGTGTCACTCCCTGGCACTCCTGTCCCCCTATGTGACCCCCACAGTGTCCCTGTCCCCCTGTGTGACCCCCACGGTGTCCCTGTCCCCCCGTGTCACTCACTGCTGGCTCTGTCCCCCCGTGTCACTCACAGTGTCCCTGTCCCCCTGTGTGACCCCCACGGTGTCCCTGTCCCCCCGTGTCACTCACTGATGGCTCTGAACCCCTGCTGTGACCCTCATGGTGTCCCTGTCCCTGTGTCACTCACTGCTGGCTCTGTCCCCCCATGTCACTCACAGTGTCCCTGTCCCCCTGTGTGACCCCCACAGTGTCCCTGCCCCCCGTGTGTCGCTCACTGATGTCCCTGTTCCCGTGTCACTCACGGTGTCCCTGTCCCCCTGTGTGTCACTTACAGTGTCCCTGTCCCCCCGTGTGACCCCCCTGGTGTCCCCGTGTCACTCACTGATGGCCCTGTCCCCCTGTGTGACCCCCACAGTGTCCCTGCCCACCGTGTGTCACTCACAGTGTCCCTGTTCCTGTGTCACTCACGGTGTCCCTGTCCCCCCGTGTGTCACTTACAGTGGCCCTGTCCCCCCTGTGTGACCCCCACGGTGTCCCCGTGTCACTCACTGATGGCTCTGTCCCCGGTGTCCCCGTGTCACTCACTGATGGCTCTGACTCCCTGCTGTGACCCTCACGGTGTCCCTGTCCCCCCATGTCATCCCCGGTGTCCCCGTCACTCACTGATGGCCCTGTCCCCCTGTGTGACCCTCACAGTGTCCCTGTCACCCCGTGTCACCCCCGGTGTCCCCGATCACTCACAGTGTCCCTGTCCCCCCGTGTCACCCCCGTGTCCCCGTCACTCACTGATGGCGATGTGCACGGACAGCAGCGGCTGCGCGGCGGTCAGGGCCCAGATGTGCAGGCTGTGCACGGCCTCCACGCCCCGCACCGCCAGCAGCGTCTCCCGCACGGCGTTGAAATCCATCCCTTTGGGGGTCCCTGGGGGGCACGGCAGCTCGGGGACGGCTCCACGGCACCCGTGGGTGCCCCCACAGCCCACCCACCCCCAGCCCGGGGGTCCCTACCCTCCATGAGGACGAGCAGGACATCGCGGAGGATGGTCAGCGTTGTCCCCAGCACCAGCGCGGAGAACAGGAAGGTGCAGATGGGATCCACGAACTTGTACTGGGGCTGGGGGCGTGCCAGGGGGTGAGACCCCCGTGGCACCGGCACCCCAAATCCCCACGGGGACCGGCAGGGCGGGCACACGGCCCTGGCTGTCTCACCCTGTGCCCGGCCACGGCCAGGCTGCTGTCCCCATGTCCCCTGCGCCCCCTTTGCCCCCAGCACCTCCTTTGCCCCCAGCACCCCCTTTGCCCTTTGCCGANGCTCCCAGTACCCCCTTTGCCCCATCATCCCCTTTCCCCCAGCACCCCGTTTACCCCCAGCACCCCCTTTTCACCTAACACCCCTTTGTCCCCATCACCTCCTTTGCCCCCCAGCACCCCCTTTTCGCCCATCATTCGCTTTTCTCCCAGCATCCCCTTTCCCCTAACACCCCCTTTGCCCCCAACACCCTCTTTAACCCCAGTACCCCATTTTCCCCCAGCATTCCCCTTTCCCCCAGCACTCCCTTTGCCTCCAGCACCCCCTTTGCCCCCACACCTCATTCACCCCCAGCACCCCGTTTTCCCGCAGCACCCCCGGACCTTGAAGAAGATGACGTAGGAGGCGATGAGCACGCCCAGGCTCTGCAGCAGGTCGCCCAGCACGTGCACGAAGGCGGCGCGGACGCTGGCGCTGGGCGCCTCGCCGGCTGCCCCGTGGCTGTGCCCGTGCCCCGTCTGGTGCAGAGCCAGCCCCATCCTGCGGGCAGGGCACTGCTGACACCCCGCGGCCCGGCGGGCTCAGGGAGGGGACCCCCGGGGACAGGGTGGCAGCACGTACACGATGTTGACGGCCACGGCGCAGGCCGAGGTGATGAGCATGACCCCGCCCTGGATGTCGTAGTCACCCGAGAGCAGGCGCTGCGCCCCCAGGTACACCAGGACCCCCGTCACCACCCAGATGGAGAGCACGGAGAGCAGGGCCCCCAGGATCTCTGCGGAGAGACCCCCCCCCAATCACTGCCACCCCCAGCCCATCCCCGGCAGGGCTGGGCACGGCGTGGGCACCCAGCACCCATCCCTGGGGTGCGCCTTGCACAGGGCTGGCAGCGGCTCTGCCTGGCCTTGTTCAGGGTGCCAGGACTTTGCCAGGGCTCCCCGGGCCCCTCAGGGTGCCCCGAAGCCCCTGGGCCACACGGGGGGGGCACCCCCGGGGCGGTGCCACCGCGTTACCTGCCCGGTGCCACCCGAAGTTCATGGTTTTGGTGGGGGGCCGTGAGGACACCCAGAGTGCAAAGAGGCTGATCATGATGCTGGCAAAGTCCGTCAGCAGGTGGGCAGCGTCCGTCAGGATGGCCAGGCTGTGTGCCAGGTACCCACCTGGGGACACATCGGGAGGACATCGGGGGGACATGGCAGGGGCCCTGCCCCGAGCTGGCACAGATCAGCTCACCCGGTGCCACACGGGGGGTCCCACTGGGTGTTCTGACCCCCAGAAAGCCAACAGGGAGCTCTGGCCGCACCCTCAGCAGGGACCCAGGACACGGGGGGCTCTGGGTGGCCTCTCGGGGTGACCCCAAGGGAGCCAGCACCCAGCACTCACCCACGGCTTCCCCCACCATGAAGAAGAGGCAGATGCCAGCGGCCAGGTAGAGCTTCCTCCGCGCCCGCTGCTGCTGGCCGGGCTGGCCGCCGGCGCCGCGCGTGTGGCAGTGCTGGCCACGCCGTGTCCCCAGCTCCAGGGCGGGCTCCTGTCCCCGCTCCGCGCTCTGCCCGTCCTTCCGCGCAGCCCCCGCGTAGCCCCTGCCGGCCGAACGCTGCTTGGGGCAGGGGGGCTTCGGCTGGACCCACCCCCAGCCCCTTCCCCCGGCCAGACCCCGCTCGGGAGCCGCACAGCAGAGGGGGCACGGCACTCCCTGCCCCCCTGGCACCCCCTGGCACCCCCTGGCACCCCGTACCCGCCTGTGCCCTCGCTCAGGAGGTGCCGCTTCTCGTCGCCGGCTGCCATCCTCCTGCGGGGCCGGGGGTCGGCGCGGGTGACCCCGGCGTGTGGCCGGCGCTGGTGGCAGCCGGTGGCCTTGGCTCGTGTGAAGAGCCGGGATTCGTGTGCAAATCCCGGCTGGAGGAGGGACGGCCAAGCCGGCTGCAAAGCCTGCCCCGGGCTGGGCCCCCTCGCCCGGCTCCCGGGGGGCTGCTGGGGGTGGGGGATTGCTCTGGGACCCCCTCCCCGAGCGCCCCCAGGAGCTGCACACCCGGGCTGGGTGCAGAGGGGATGGAATGTCCCCATGTCCCCTCCGAAGGCACACGGTGACCCCCACCTCCCCGCTTTGGGGAACCCTCGGAACCCCCCAGTTTGGATGCAGCCGTGTGATGGATGAGCCCCCTCCCCAGCAGAGACTCCTGGGTGAGCAGCGTTAATTACCCTGGGGCTAATTGCCCTCGTGGCTCAGCTCGGGTTCCCCTGGGCCCCCTCTGAGCAGGACTCGTGTTTTTGCAGGACAAAAGCATCGATGGGGTAATTTTGCGTTTAGGATGTATGTCAGCATTTACGGTGTGTTTTTTTCATCCAAGGTGGTTTTCTGAGCTCAGTCAGCAGCAAACCAGCAGCTCTACGCCGACACCATCCCCATTTCGGGGCTGGCCCAGCCTGGAGCATCCCCAGCCCCTCCCGTGCCACCCCTCCAGCCCAGGGCAAGCTCTGGACAGGACATCCCATCCCCAGGAGATAAATCCTGCCGGGTGCCGACCTGTTACATCCCGGGCGGGCGGCCAGGAGCGGCTGCCAGAGGTGCTAATGAGGCTGGAAATTAAGAGCCGGGCCGGAGGTGTCCCTCTGCCACGCCGGCTGCTGGCAGGGACACCGCTGATGGCACCAGCCCGGCAAAGCCATCCCCGGTGCCACCCGCGGCGCCGAGAGCGAGAGGCGAGGAAGAAAATAACCACGCAAAGCAGCGGCTTTTCTTTACAAAATACACAATTTTCAAATCCGTGACAATTATGTACAAAACAAGGGAATTACAAAACGTGCGGAATTGTCCTGTTTGCACCCGTATAGAAAAGTGTCCTGTGCTGGAGCAGGCGCCGGGTCTGCCGGGCCCTGCCCCGTGTCCCCCCCACCCCAAATCCGTCGCCGGACATCCCGTGCCCGGGGGCGTTTCTCCCGCGCCGGCAACGTTGCTGTGGCTACAGGGAAGCTGCCGAGGGAGAGGATGGGGTGATCAAGGAGAGCCCAAGCCCCCAAAGCTCCCCCGTGGGTGCTGAGGGTCCTGGGTGGGCTCAGCCGTGCTCTGCCCCTTACCCATCCCTGTCCTCTCGGGCGCTGCGTTCTCTTCCACCTCTTCTTCCTCCCCATCAAAGTATTCCTCATCTTCCTCTGCTGCAAGCAAGCGGCCAAAGGTCAGCAGGAGGCACCGGGAGAAGCAGAGGGTGTCGCCGGCTGGGTGGGGGTCGCTAGGGGGGCTGAATTACCGGGCTCGAAGTCCAGGGCGCGCACAGCCTCGCTGAGGTGCTCCAGGCTCACCGAGAAGGCGTCCATGCTCTCGTAGCCCTGCTCGATCTTGTCCAGGCGAGCGCCCTTGGAGGCCTCCACGATCCTGGGCAGGCAGAGCACGGGGGTGTGTGGGTGTGGGTGTGGGTGTCCCTGTCCCCTCGCTGAGCTTTGGGCACCAGGGGCACCAGGGCAGGGGGTCAGGGCAGCCCAGCTCGCCAAATCCTGCCCGTGGCGTTTGGCTCGTGGAGATTGCCCCGCTCTGAGCACTTACGTTTTTATGAGCTGCTTGGCGTTCTGTGGAGAGAGAGAAGGGGAAGGAGGAGGAGGGGGAGGAAGAGGAGGTGAGTGAAGGCACGGCAGCCAGCAGGCCGTCCCCAGCAGCGGGACCCTGCGGGGCAGGTCTGGGGGGTCTCACCATGAGGAAGGCAGCCCCGCCGGTCTCCTCGGCTGCCTGGATGGCAGTCTCCACCAGCCGGCTCGACTTCTCCAGCTGCTCCTTGTACTGGCAGATGAGGCTCTGGATGAAGGCGGTCTTGTCCGCCTGCTCGCGGGCGATGCGCTGCAGCAGCTCCGCCTTCTTCTCCTCCAGCAGCGCCGCCAGCGCGTCAAAGCGAGCGCAGAGCTCCCTCTTGGCCGCCTCGCTGTTCTCCTGCGGGGACAAGCGACAAGGGATGCCACCCGTGTGTCCCTCCGGCGCCTGCAGCATCCCTGCTCCGTGGGCCATGCCCGGCTAAGGTTTCACCCCCGGGTTTTTTGGGGGGGCTCCTTTCCCCCCCTTTGCTCACCTCGGTGCTCTGGCAGGAGTCCTCCAGCTGGGAGATGATGGTCTGGATCCGGTCATTGCCCGCCACCAGCATGGAGATGCAGTTGTTCAGCTCAGTCTGGCGAGCACAGAGAGAAGCAGTTTTAACTCCCGTGGGGACAGGAGCTGCTCTGGGCATTGCTCATCCCCAGCTCTGCTCCCCCATCCCTCACCAGCCACGGCTGCTCTAAATATAGCCTGTCTGTCCCCTGGGCCAAGTCACCCGGGGGCTATTAATACCCCGTGAGCCAGCCCCGCAGTTATTTGTCACTGTCCCAGCCCAGCACATGGCCCGCAGCCCCCCCGGGTCCCCCCCGTGGCACCTTCTGTCCCTGGAAGACGGTTTGCAGAGGGGCCACCTCGCAGTCCTTGTGGGCACCGAAGACTTTGCACATGGAGCAGGTGGGCACCTCGCAGGTGACGCAGTAGATGTTGATCCGCTCGTCCTCGTGCTCCTTGCACATGGGGGGCTCCCCCTTCTTCAGTGGCCTGCTGGAGAGGGTGGCACGGCCACGGTGACGTCCCCCGTCACGGTGACACCCACGCCGGGGTGATGTCCCAGCTACAGGGACACCGCTGCCACCACGGTGGCCCCGCTGCAGCGTCACCCCCGCCATGGTGACACCCCCAAAATGAGATCCCTGGGGAAGAGGCCAGATCCTGGCATGATCCCACAGCTGCCCCTCGGGAGCCACCAGCCTCCGTGCCTCTGCCCACCCCGGTGTGGCCCAGTTAAAGCCACCGTGGCGCTGGGCATGGCAGTGGGTGGCACTGGGGACAGGGGGCTGCGATCCAGAGGCGCTGCACCACTGCCTAATTTTAGCCCTGTGCTGCCCGGATTTATTGTCACCCATCGTGTGACCGGGGTGGGGACACCCAGAAACCCCCGGGGGGGGTCCCAGACGGGGGCTGCAGCTCAATTGTCCCATCCACAGCGAGGAGGGACATGGGGACAAGGCAGTGCTGTGAACCAGGGACAGGCCTGGGCCCCCCGGCCCCCCCGGCCACCTGCCACGTGCCATCGTCCCCGTCCCCATGGCTCTCACACAATATTTACAGCGGTTCAGGGGATCTGGCCGGGGCCACTGCTCTGCCTGGAGAGCTGTGACCCCTCTGTCCCCCCCCGGCTTCATCCTGGTACCCACTGGGCCCTCCCAAACTGTCCCTGTGCCCCTTATCAGCCCCGGTGCCTGTTGTCACAGCAGAGCCTGGATTCCTTCCCCACACCTCTTATCTGCCACCGAATGTTCCAGCAAGAGCTGGGGGGGCAGCAGGACGTGCCACCACCCCCCGGGGACCTGCCACCCCCTGGGACAGCCAGAGGCACAAACTGCTGGGAGAATCGGGTTGGGGGAGGCAGTTTTGGGTCCGGAGAGGAATTTTGGGGTCCAGGGAGGAAGTTTTGGATCTGGGGAAGCAGTTTTGGGTCTAGGGAGGAAGTTTTGAGTTGCAGGAGGAAGATTTTAGTCAAGGGAGGGAGATTTTGGTCCAGGGAGGGAGACTTGAGTCAGGGAAAGATTTGATTTGGGGATCACTGAGCAGCCAGACCCCAGCGCGATCTCTCGGGGTCTCAGTGCTGCTGCTGGGGCACGGGAAGGAGCCATCCCCCTGTCCCCACGTCCCCATATCCCCCTGTTCCCCCCGTCTGTGCCCACCTGGAGCACTCCTGCTTGTAGATGTCGATGATGTTCTCCACCAGCAGGTTCCTCTGCAGCCCGTAGACGCCGTGGCGGTCCAGCAGCACCTCGTGGCGGCACGAGGGGCACCGGAACCGGCCCCCCGAGATCAGACTGCCCCGGCTCTGCCAGTACGGGTTGGCAGCCTGCGAGGGGGACACGAACACGGGGACAGTCCCTCAGTGTCCCCAGAGCAGGCGCTGTGCCCCGGGCTGGGCGCGGGGACCCCGCTCACCTGGAAGACGTCGTTGGCGCACTTGCGGCACAGGTTGTGCTGGCAGGGCAGGATCACCACGGGCTTGCTGAACATCTCCAGGCAGATGGGGCAGATCAGCTGCTTCTCCAGGCTCTCCATGGGGCTGCCATCCTGCAGGATACCGGCTTGGAAGTCCATGGCGCTCTCCTGGCCGTGCTCTCCTGGCGGTGCTCTGGCCGCCCCTCGCCCCGCTATTTATGGGCGCTCCCCATCACGCGGCCGCCGGCGGTGTCGGGTGTCCCGGGCCAGCACCTGTCACACGGCAAGGGAGGGTAAACAAGATGGGCACAGGCTGTCCAGGAGGCGCTGCCCGCCCGTGCCGCGCTGCCCGGGCCGCAGCTGCGGGGTAAACAGGGCCAGGCGCGGCACATCTGCCACCCCAGAGCGTCACAGCGGGCAGGGAGGGGCAAGCGCAGCCCCCCGGGGTGCCCGGGACCTTGTGGTGGTGGCTCCAGAGAGGTGCCAGCCGCAGCAGGGGTGCTTTGTGCAGTTTGTGCCTTTGCCCACCCAAAACACGGCCGCTTCTGGGGTGCCAACAGCAGCTGGGGTGCCAGCCCGGGGCTGCCTGAGCGCTGGCAGGGGACAGGCAGCTCTGGGGAGGCACAGCCCTGGCACAGGGATGGCACAGCTGTGGCATAGGGATGGCACAGTCCTGGCACAGCCCTGACCCAGCCCTGACCCAGCCCTGGCACAGCCTTGGCACAGCCATGTCACAGCCATGTCACAGCCCTGGCACAGCCATGACCCAGCCCTGGCACAGCCCTGGCACAGCCTTGGCACAGCCCTGGCACAGGGATGGCACAGACCTGGCCCAGCCCTGGCACAGCCATGGCACAGGGATGGCACAGCCATGGCACAGCCCTGGCACAGCCTTGGCACAGCCCTGGCACAGGGATGGCACAGCCCTGGCACAGCCATGACCCAGCCCTGGCCCAGCCCTGGCACAGCCCTGGCACAGCCATGACCCAGCCCTGGCCCAGCCCTGGCACAGCCCTGGCCCAGCCCTGGCACAGCCATGTCACAGCCATGACCCAGCCCTGGCCCAGCCCTGGCACAGCCCTGGCACAGCCATGACCCAGCCCTGGCCTCGCTGCTGGGGCTCAGGAGCTGACCCAGAAACGGCCGGGGGGGGCAAAGGCCGAGCAGAGCCCTGGCTGCAAACAGCCCCGGGCAGGATCCCCGGCTGGCCAGGGGCCAGAGCTGTCAGCACGGCAGGGCACAGGGTAACCCTACCCTGGCACACGGGTCACAGCGGGGGCACAGGCTGGGGGCTGCAGTGCCCCAGGGACTGCGGGCAGGAGATGGCACTGGGGGCAGGGGGTACCCAGGCACACAGGAATGGGGTGCAGGGGTCCATGAGCACACAGGAATGGGGTGTAGGGGGTACTGGGGGCACAGGGACGGGGGGCAGGGGGTACCCAGGTGTACAGGAACGGGGTGCAGGGGTCCACGAGAACACAGGAACGGGCACCTGGCTGCACAGGCACACGGTGTCGGGGTGCACTGACCCCCCTCTCCCCACCAGGACATCCCCTCAGCTGTTGTGGGTTCCTTCCTCCCTGGCTCACGTGTGCAGCGAGTGACTGTGCCGGGACCTCCAGGCACATCTTGCAAAATTGTTCCCGTTCTGGCACTTGGGGCTCTGCCAGCGGGGCGCTGGCAGCACAGCGGGGCTGGCTGGGCACCCGGAGGGCAGCGCAGGGCTCGGACCCTGCCCTGGTGACATATGGGGTGCAGGGGGTACCCAGGCACACAGGAATGGGGTGCAGGGGTCCACGAGCACACAGGAACGGGCACCTGGCCGCACAGGCACACGGTGTCGGGGTGCACTGACCCCCCTCTCCCCACCAGGACATCCCCTCAGCTGTTGTGGGTTCCTTCCTCCCTGGCTCACGTGTGCAGCGAGTGACTGTGCCGGGACCTCCAGGCACATCTTGCAAAATTGTTCCCGTTCTGGCACTTGGGGCTCTGCCAGCGGGGCGCTGGCAGCACAGCGGGGCTGGCTGGGCACCCGGAGGGCAGCGCAGGGCTCGGACCCTGCCCTGGTGACATTGATTCATTAATTGCTTCTGGACTCGATTAAGGGGATTCACAGGAGTTGTAACGCCCTAAGCAGATTTCAGAACCCACAAGGGGCTCGCTGGCCCCTAATTGGCTTGGGACAGCTTAGGCAGGACCCAGGGCACTAATGAGCCCCGGATCCCTCCCAATTAACCCCGGAGAGCCCAGCACAGGGGTGAATCTCCCTCTGCTCGGGCTGAGAAGGGCTCTGAGCAGGAGGTGGCCCTGGCTTCTCCCAAAACGTCCCTGTGGTGGCTTTGCAATGAGGACACAGCAGGGATGTGACAGGGGCACGGGGGGCACTGCCAGCCCTGCAGGAGGGGGAAACGGGGCCGTGGCACAGAGCAGGGAACAGAGAGGGGCGGCAGCTCTTGTGTCGCTGTCACACCAAGCCAGGGCTCAACAGCGGGAGGGGCTGTGCTGATTTTTTCTGGATGCCATAAATCACAGAGTGCTGGAATTGTTTGTTTGGAAGGACCTTAAACCCACCCAGTGCCAGCCCTGCCATGGCAGGGGCACCTCCACTGGGCACTGCCAGGGATCCAGGGGCAGCCACCCTCACAGGCAACACTTCCTTCCCAATTCATAAACAGAAATGTCAGTAATTAATTGATTAATTAATGCAATTAAACGCCCACCTCACTCATTGGAAGGACATTAAACCCACCCAGTGCCAGCCCTGCCATGGCAGGGACACCTCCACTGGGCACTGCCAGGGATCCAGGGGCAGCCACCCTCACAGGCAACACTTCCTTCCCAATTCATAAACAGAAATGTCAGTAATTAATTGATTAATTAATGCGATTAAACGCCCGCCTCACTCGCCCCGCCCCGCCCCCTCAAGTGACCAATCACGGGGCGGTGCGCCCGGGTGGGCGTGGCCCCACGGCGTGGGCGTGGCCGCGCTGAGGGAGGCGGGCGGGCGCAGCGCAGCCCTAAGATGGCGGCCGGGCGGCGGCGGCGGCCGCGCTGAGGTAACGCGGCTCCTCCGGCCCGGCTCGGCCCGGGCCCGGCCCCTCGTCCTGCCCTGCCCCCGGGGGTTGGAGCGGGCGGGATCCGCGCTGCAGGTTCGGCTGGGGCGGGGGCTGGTACCCCCTGCGGCGGGCAGGGCCCAGCGGGCCGGCATCATCCCGCGCTGTGGGGCGAGCGGCGCTTCCCTTCACAGCCGCAGGTGGGGGGCCTGGTGCGGCAGGGGTGCGTTTATATGGCCTCTATTAACTATATACATTATCTAAATATTCATATTATCCCGTAAGCGCTGCCGGGCCCGCAGCAGCCAGCGCGGTGCCGCTCGGCCGGGCCGGCCCCGGGGCCCCGCAGCGCCGCGGCCGGCCGTGCCCTGCCTCAGGAGCCGCGTTGCTTTGCCCCGGAGCGGTGCGGGCGCGGGGCAGCTCCGGCCCTTGTGGGCCCGTGGGTCTCGGTGCTCGGGAGCTGCGGGTGCAGCCTCGGGGCGCATCTCGGTTCAAATCCAAACTGCGAACGGCCCTCACACAGCTTTGCTGAAAGGTTAAAATATCTCTGTAGCACTGCCTGAGACTGATGATACCTTTTTTCTCTCTCTTTTTCTTTTTTTTTTTTTTTCCTAAAAAAAAAATTGCCTAAAGCAGTGGAAATACTTGAAATCTTCCTACTAATAACAGGCCGTTTCAATGGGGTCCTTATTGCCTGACATAAAGAGAATCACCTTTATCACTGGCTGTCTTAAAGCTATTGTAGTTCTGAGCTCTCAGTGTGATTTTATTTATTTATTTCCTTTTGGTTTTGTGTTTCATTCTGTTTGACCAGTGCTCCTTGGCTAGTCAAGCTCTTATTTTTTTATTTTAATTTATTGCTGTCTCTAGTTAGTGTCCTGTTTTGGTTTGGTTGTGTGAAGGTGGTGCTGGTGTTTGGTTTATAATCTTGTAGGGCAGCGTGCAGGGAGGGTCATAAATCTGCAGCAGGGTTTTGGTGGCTTATTTATTTTTTCCTCCTTTTTGTGTGTGTGTGTGTGTCTCTTGTTTTACTTTCAGAGCAACAACTTAACTTTTGTCCTTGCTCTGTTGAGCAAAAGTGAAAGTTAGATGCTGGGTGCAAACTTCTGCAATCAGTTATCCTTTTTAACCTTTCATAGCTGTAGATTCCTCATGCAGGGGAGGCTTGGTGAAAAATCAGTCACCTCAAAAAAATAAACGGGGAGCGACTGACGCTTTCTCTTCTCCGAATAAAACAATTATAACAGAAACGTTTGCTCCTGCAGCCACCAAAAAAAAGGCAGTTAATTAAAATTCCAGGCCAAGCAGGGGCTTCAGCTGGGACCTGGTGTGCTCTGCAGGCTGGATGGGGAGCATGCCAGCCTCCTGTTATTCCTGCAGATGCCCACGGAAGACACTGAGGGGGAGCAGCAGGAGTGCTCACCACAGCCCTGTCCCGGCACCAGACCAGTCTAGCTTTGAATTGTTGCCACCCCGAGCACGCCGGGCTGCCTTTGACACCTTAACAAAGAGATGTAATCTCGCTCTCCCCTGGTCCCTGGCAGCGGGCGCAGGTTTATGGAGCAGCTTCTGGAATGTTCTAGCAGCGAGCCCCCCGTTAACGGCGGGGTCTGGCCAGGCCAGCCCCTAGGGGGGGGAAACACAGCCCGCTTCCTGTGCCTGAGTTTTAGTTGTGTGGGTTTCTCCCCCTTCCCCAGAACCTTTGCTCTTGAAGATGGTGAGTAGCCAGCCTAAGTACGATCTAATTCGGGAGGTTGGTCGTGGCAGTTATGGTGTGGTGTACGAAGCGCTCGTCAGGAGGACCTGTGCCCGCGTGGCCGTCAAAAAGATCCGGTGCCACGCTCCCGAGAACGTGGAACTGGCTCTGCGCGAGTTCTGGGCCCTTAGCAGTATCAAGAGCCAGCACCCCAACGTCATTCACCTGGAGGAGTGCATCTTGCAGAAAGATGGCATGGTGCAGAAGATGGCCCATGGCTCCAGCTCCTCCCTGTATCTGCAGGTACACGAGGCCGAGGGGACGGGGTGGAAGGAGTGGAGCTGGGGGGAAGGAGGTGGGGCAGCCCGGGGCTCTGAGCCCTGCTCGCCTAGCCCAGGGGGCTGTCTGCCTTGCTGGCACCCGGAATTTAATGGAGGTCTTTAAAAAAAACCTCAGCAGGATTTTGGGTTTGAAGCTGTGCTGCTCTAAAAGACTGCAGAATGCAGATGTGCTCTGATGATTTGAGGAAGCCCAGGGGAGGTGCAGGCTGTGGAGTTCTTGGCAGCTGCAGGTTAAAGAGCACTCCTGTCCTGGGACAGAGCTTGGAGGAATTCCATCCTGGGTGTCCTTGGAAGAGGAAATCAGTGTCTTGATTTATAGGAAGCCAACACTTAAAATTCTTTCAGAAACAAGAATCAATGGGTAGCACATCATGAGCTGGTTTTATTTTTAAATAAATAACAATCTCTTCAAAGAGTATAAATTAGAGAATACATATCACTCTGAAGGTGTCCTTTCAGTTTGAAGATGTGCATGTTTGAAGAATAAGTAGCTCTGGAAAGACAATGATTAATTCCCTTGTCAAAAAGCAGCCCTAAGCATAAATCACCCCCGGGCAGAAATCTGTTTCTGGTTTAAAAAGCCAGCAGCCTGCTCAGTGTTTGCTGTTATCCCGTGTCAGCTGTCATTATTTCAGTTTTCATTGCCATTGCTGTGTGGGGTGGCCCTGTGGGCGAGCAGCCCTGCAGGTGCTGGCTGCTCTCTGAGCAGCAGGATCCTTCTGGCTGCCACAGGAGCTGTTCCTGTTTGCAGGGAAGGATTTGGCTACAGAAACACCGGCCAGCTCTCACCAGAGCCTCGCCTTGCTGGGTCAGTGCAGCTGCCAGGGGCTGCTTCCAGCTGCAGGGCAGATGTGCAGGGAGGAGCTCTGCCTGGGATGGTGCTGTGGGGAGCAGCTGGCACAGGGCTGTGCCCCTGCCAGGTGCAAACAGCACGGATTGTTTTGCTGCCACAGGGAGGAGGGCAAAGGGCAGAGCTGAGCTGCCTGCCAGGGTCACTTGGGAGCAGCCTGGGACAGCCAAGGGCACTCAGAGCCCCTCTGCTCTCCCGGGTGATGGCACAGGGCTGAGCTGCTGCTGTGGGCCAGGAGGCTGGAGAAGGGCTCTGGGCAGCTTCTCAGTGCCAGCTGAACCAAATCTGTAGAGTTTGAGTCCTGAGGCAGCCTTGGCTGCTGGTGCTTTGCCACTGGCACAGATGTGGGGGGTGGATTTTGTTGTCTTAACTCTCCCAAGGTCTGCCAGTGCAGCTCCTGTGACTCTGTGGTGGTGCCCTCTTGGCAGGGGAGACTCCCTGCTCTCCTGAGATACCTTAATCTCACCATTCTTGACTACAAACCCTAAATAAGGCATTTCTTAGCTCTAAAATAGATTTACTGTGTAAAGAAGATAGCTGTAAATTACTACAATTTTTTTTTCTCTTGAAAAGGTCATTTTTTAAAAGCATTTCAGAATGCCTCTCTAGATACTAACACACCCCTTCATTTTTGAAAGCCAGTTTGATTTAGCATCCATTGGTTTACTACTAACAGAAATAATTGCAGGACTTTCCTTCCAGAGCCACCTCAGAGGAGCTGAAGAGGCAAATGCAGTTGTGTAAACAGGATTAGTGGAAGTGATTGCAGGTTTTGCTTTGCTTTCTGTGTGGAGCAGCTATAAGAACTGGCTGTTCAGCTTGTGTTCCTGAGAATACCCTGTGGATAGTGATGGTGGGAAGGGTGTTCCGTGCTCAGCTGTGCCTGCAGATCAGTGTTCTCCTGAGTCCAGGGATCCTGTGTTAACTTGCTGGAATTCATGGATGTGTCAGGAATGGAGAGCAGCCTTTAAAAATCTCTCCTGGATAAACAGAGCTGTGTGGAGTTACTTGTGAGACTTTGTTTATCCCGAAAAGCTGTTGGCAGAGTGGGTGGGACAGGCTTTGGCAGGGTGGGACACTGTCCAGCTGGGACAGATGGGAGGGCAATGGCCACTGGGTATCTTTAAAAACTCTTATCAGGGTCGAGCTCTGCTTCTGGGCAGGAGCCTGAGCTTGATATGCTCCACACCAGGGAAGATAAGGAGGCTGGCAAATATATTGTGATTTTTTTTTTCTCTCTCTTTTACATAAAAACATTTGCATAATGTTTTCTTTCCCCTGTTGCAACGCCTTGCTCTCTGGATTGTTGAGAGGAGGGTCAAACAGTCCTAGAGTGGTCTGGGTTGGAAGGAATCCTAAACCCCATCTCATTCCCATGGACAGGGACACCTTCCACTCTCCCAGGTTGCTGCAGCCTGGCCTTGGACACTTCCAGGGATGCAGGGGCAGGCACAGCTCCTCTGGGCAGCCTGTGCCAGGCCCTCACCAGCCCCACAGGGAACAGTTCTTTCTGTGTAACTAACCCAAACTTCCCTCTCTGTGAAGATCCCAATTTCACACATTTTCCCATCGTTTCCTTTCCTTCCACCATCCTCAGGCAGTTACGACATCTCTTTTCCTCGTTGCAGCTTGTAGAAACCTCACTAAAAGGAGAAATAGCCTTTGACCCCAAAAGTGCTTATTACCTGTGGTTTGTGATGGATTTCTGTGACGGGGGGGACATGAACGAGTACCTGCTGTCCCGCAAGCCCAGCCGCAGGACCAACACCAGCTTCATGCTGCAGCTCAGCAGCGCCCTGGCCTTCCTGCACAAGAACCAGATCATCCACCGCGACCTCAAGCCCGACAACATCCTCATCTCGCAGAGCCGCGCCCACGCCGGCGACCCCGAGCCCACGCTGAAGGTGGCAGATTTTGGGCTGAGCAAGGTGTGCTCGGCCTCGGGGCACAACCCCGAGGAGCCCGTCAACGTCAACAAGTGTTTCCTGTCCACCGCCTGCGGCACCGACTTCTACATGGCCCCCGAGGTGTGGGAGGGACACTACACGGCCAAGGCCGACATCTTCGCCCTGGGCATCATCATCTGGGCCATGCTGGAGAGGATCACCTTCATCGACACCGAGACCAAGAAGGAGCTGCTGGGCAGCTACGTGAAGCAGGGCACGGCCATCGTGCCCGTGGGCGAGGCGCTGCTGGAGAACCCCAAGATGGAGCTGCTCATCCCCGTCAAGAAGAAGTCCATGAACGCCAGGATGAAGCAGCTGATCAAGGAGATGCTGGCAGCCAACCCGCAGGACCGGCCCGACGCCTTCGAGCTGGAGCTGAGGCTGGTGAACATCGCCTTCAAGGACAGCAGCTGGGACACGTGAGGGGGCTCGGCCCGGCAGGCAGAGCCTCGCCTCACCTGCAGGGGGTACTTCGCACCTAGCTGGAGATTCCCGGCAGGAATGTGGAGCTGGCCGCGGTGTGAAATCCCAGCGTGAGGCTGAGGGTGTTCCTTGGGCTGCACTGGCAGGGGGATGTTGCAAGAGCCGACACTACTTGATTTCCAGCACTCTGTCACGGAGTGTCTCACACATTCCAGTTTCCTATGTCAGTATTAGGAACTCTCATGGAAAAAAAAAAAAAAAGGTTTGCATGCTGGCAGTGCAAATCTTGAGGCTTTGTAATGTAATCTGTGTATATATTTATGTATATGAGTGACTGGGAGTGTGTGGCACTTAAATTATTTGCTGTGGGTCTGGATGATTTGGGTCTGCTAGAAATCTGGGTGAAGAGGGTGAGTGAGAAAAACTCCTTCTTCCCCAGGCCTGAATGACTTTATTATTTATTTTTGTTATCTAATTTCAAAGACTTGACTTTGTAAACAAAAAAAAAAAAAGCAATGCAAGGGGATCAGCTGCTTTCCAAGTGCTAACATGGCTGATCTTGGCATTTGGAGCTTAATGAGCTCATCACTGAGGGAGTCAAATTAGAAATGTACAGTCAGGTGCTGGCAGAGGGGGTGGCTCATTGATCATTTGATTTTGCTTTTATTAATCAATTAATCTGCCTTTTCTCAACATGCTCTCTGCCCTGGTGTCCACAATCCCATCGCACCTGGAGGATTTACCCCAGCAGAGTTCTGTGCCCTCAGTTTATGGAAACGTGGATGAGGGAATCCAGCAGCATATCCTTAAAATCCTTCAAAACGTGGTGGCAGCAGTTTTCCCAGTAGCTGAATCCAGCTAATAACCCAATAGTCACAGCCTTTCCTCTCTGGCCCTGCCCCAAATGCAGGGGGGGTGAGGGGACAGAGGTGGCCCTGTCCCCTGGTCACGCCTGGAGTCAGAGCTGCAGAGAGCTCAGTGGCAGGTGTGTGAGAGCTGGCAGCCTGCCTTGCTTTTTTTGTTTAGTTTTTCCTCCTTTTACCTTGAAAGAAGTGATCTTTATTTCCAAGCACAGATGGGAGGAGGGGGTTTGGAAGCTGCTGGTCCCCAGCTCTGGCTGCACAAAGCAGGTTGAGGCTGGGACAGGTTTCATGAGGCCACCTGGCACTGCCAGCAGCTCTTTGTCCCAGCACAACTCTTTGTTCTGTTGGGTGCAGCACTGAGCTCTCCCATCCAGTTTGGCCTTTTGGAAAAAAAAGCAGAGTCTTAAAATTGCCTTTCAAGCTGCGTGAAAGGCCAGTTTTCTTTACAAAATTCAATTTAATTTTTTCCTCCACCCAAATCTTACTGGAAATGGCTGTAAGTATTTCCTTGTACAATTTGCTTTTTGGATCCTGTTCCCTCCTAGTGCTGGGACAGCAGTTCTGGGCACTCAGTATTTATTCTTTGAGTGCAAATAAACAAAATGTTCTTTTTTGGTTTTCCAAAAGCAAAGGATTCTGATTCCACCCAGCTTCTGAGGCTTTACAGGCCACAGGTGGCTCCTACCTGGTGCTGTGTGAGCTGGTGGCTGTCCCCAGCTGGCCTTAGGTTATAATTTTTGTTATTTCCTTTCTCTTCATCCTTTTAGGGAGCGATCCTCAGACAAACCCACTTTGCTTGTGCCAACTCTGCCTCCCAGTTCTCACATCCCAGCAGGGCCACTGACAAAAAGGGGGTTTATAATTCATATTTCACTTGGGAGCTTTTCAAAAACAAAGGGGTGAGCGTCCCCCTCTCTCACCCAGCCAGAAGTGAGACCCAGAATAACTCTGCTCCCCCCTGAGGTGCTCTGTGAACCCCCTGGGTCCCCTCTGCAGGGCAGGAATCAGGGGCTGGCACAGGGAAGTTTCGGGGTTTTTGACTCCCAAAGTGTTTCTTTGCACTGATTGCCACTTTATAGGTTGGGGGTGCCTGAAATCCCTCTCATGGTGCTTATCCTCGCTGTTGGGTGACACTGGTAGTCCTCGAGCTCTGTGTTCTCTTTGGTTTTTTGTTGTCTGAGGTCTTTGTTTTGAGAAAATAAATCAAATTGTAGCAGCTGCGGGGTCGTTCACCAGCGTGACACAAAGTCAAGACACTTTTCAGCACTTGGGAAAGATTTTTTTTTCCATGTTTTTCTTTAAAAACTGTAAAATATATTTTATGGAGAATTTATAATGAGGAAAATTATTGTGTAATTTATTAAGTTCATGACTGTTTTTGAAATAAAATCTTGAATTTCAAGGAAGTTTCAGGACTTTTTATGGGGAAGTGCTTTCAGTCAGTGCAGTGTCAGTGCTGCCTTCCAGGGACAGTGTCCTGAGAAACTTTAGGAGTGAAGGTGAGGAAACATCATTACTTATCCATGGCAGGAAAGTGTGGCCCTCATTTGCATGTTTTAATTAGCAGCGCTCAGGACAGAGGGATCTGCTGTAAGTGAATTTCTCTTGGAATTCCTTACACCCACAGCAAACCCCAGCCCTGTGCCTGCACCTGTGGACCAGGAATTCCCACCTGGAATGGGCACGTGCCCACCTGGCAGGAGCCTTGTGCTTGACTCAATGCAGTTTGGGTTTAGATTCACTTTTTTTAGGGGGTTAAGGACATGTCGTGAAGGAGAAAGTCACACTTTGGGATCAGTTCTAGGAGTGGTGATTTTAAATAGAGGCACAACCTGAATTCCTTCCCCACAAAATGAAGAAAAGTAAATATACATATATATATATATATATATGTACACACACTATATACGAAGAAAAGAAAATATACATATATATATATATGTACACACACTATATATATATATATATAATATATGCTGTACTTCAAATATATTTAGCCCCTGGGGAGGGCGGGGAAATGTGCAGGGAAATGCCCTGGTGCAGAAATGAGAGATAATTAAAGCCCACTGGGCTGGGAGAGCCCAGCCCCAGAGGTTCAGGCTGCAGCCTGCCCATCCCATGCCTGTTCCCAGGGCTGGGAACTGGCCCTGTTGGTGTTTTTGCTTTGTTTTTTTGGAGCAGAGCTGCCCTGGAAGGTCCCTCCCTGCAGGGAGCTGCTCCCCTCCTGCGGGGGCACAGCCAGCCCGGGGTTTGGGGGCTTTTCCCTCTGCTCCCACCCTGGGACAGCGCTGGCTCCGGGGGCTGGATCCTCCTGGTGCTTTGGGGATGGAAGGGGGAGCCAGTGTGGACATTTAAACAGGAGGGAGAAGTGATGTGGACATTTAAACAGGAGGGAGAAGTGGTATGGACATTTAAACAGAAGGGAGAAGCGGTGTGGACATTGAACACCAAGCCCAGGGGGTGCTGCTGCCGGGGCTGCTCCGTTCCCCTCTCCTGCCAAGTGCAGTTTCTGTGCTGCAGCCCGAGAAAGGCACAGGGATGTGCCTGGAATGGCACAAAGCACCCAGAGGGACACGGGCCGGGTGGGAACACCAGCCTGGGCTGCTCAGGAGCTCTGGGGGAATCTGAAACCCCATTTTTAGGAGCAGGGAGGTGTCAAGTGAGCACAGCTGGAAGAGGTGCCCAGCCCTGTTCATTCCTTTACTCAGGTTTGGGATGGAACCAGATGCAACCTAAAAACCTCAGAGCCTTTGCAGCAGTGCTGGGTTCAGGCCTCCATCCTCCATCCTGCCCCTGGGGGTGCTCCCCACAGCCCCACAGCTCCTGTCCCTGTGCCCCCAGCGCTGCCCAGCCCTCCCCTACCGTGGCTCTGGAGCTTTTTTTGGGGTTGGGACATCCCCGGGAGCGCTCCTGCCCCGGCCTGCCCCGACACGCGGCTGCTCTCGGATTCATTTGTGCCCGTTTGAACCCTTGAGGTTTTTTAACTCGTCCAACAGGGCTCCCAGCCCTGCCCTCTCCCGAGGAAAGCCGAGCCTCGCTGGCTCCCCGCCGGGCGGTGGCGTTTGCCTTTCCCGTGGGGGAATCCAGGGGCAGATCCCGGGGCTGCCGAGGTTTCTCCATCACTTGGCCTGATCCTGTTCCCTGTCCTGTCCAGATGTGCCCGATCCTGTTCCCTGTCCTGTCCAGATGTGCCCCAGTGCAGCCGCATCCTGCACACGAGCCCGGGCGCTGCTGCTGTGCCCCGCTCCGTGTTTGTTAGAGAGGGGCTCTGTCCCTTCCTTGCTGTCACTGGGAGTTTTTTCCAGTGCCTGCAGAGCCCAAACAAGACCTGGCCCCGCTCACCCTGCCCAGGCTCCGTTTCAGCCCCGTTTTCGTCAGTCCCGGCCCCAGCCCCTTCCTGCCCCGCTGCCCCCGGCCGGGAAGGGGCTGGGCACGGCCCCGGGCCCCATTCCCGGCATCGGAGCAGCTCCTCCGGAAGGAACTGGGGTGGGGACAGAGAGCTCGGGGACAGGTCCCCCCTCATGCCGGGGCTTTGTCCCCCTGGAGCCTCCTCGGCGGCTGGGACCAGCCTGGCTGTGCCCCGGCTCTCCATCCAAAGCGGCTGCCGGAGGGTGCTGGGGCTGCGGCTCCCCCGAGAGCCCCGGGGGTGCGGGGCTGCGGCTCCCGGGGAGCCCCGGGGCTCCGGGAGCCCAGCCCGGGGCCAGCAGCCCCTTCCCCGGAACTCTGCTCCAGTGCCACGTTCGCAGCCCCCCGGGCTGGGGATGGAGGCGGCCGGGATTGTCCCTGCGGGAGCGCTCGGGAAGGGAAGAGGGCAGCGGTAAAAATAACCCCTGGGCCAGCTCCAGCCCATTGTGGCTTCCTGCGATTTACAGCCCTTCCCGGGGGAAGAGGCAGGAACCGGGCGGCTCGGGGCTGGCTTTGACCCTTTCACCGCCACCGGAGAGGTGCCAGAAGGAGCTTTCCTCCCTCCTTCCCGCCTGGGTGGGATCCTGGGGAGGGGGATTGAGGTGGGCTCCTGCTCCTGAGCTGCCCCCACGCCCTGGGGTGGCGGTACAAGGAGAAGCTGCTGCAGTGCACCCGGATTCCCTGCCCCATTCCTGACCCGCCCCGTGCAGGGGGACAGAGAGACTCGGAGGCAAAAATCTCTGCTGCAGATCCCGAAATGCCGGCCGGGTTTCCGTGAGGAAGAGGAGGAGGAGAGGAGCTGCAGAGGCGAGCTGGAGCTGCAGCAGGACAGGGGTTAATGCTGGCCAGGGCTGTGAGGGAGGTCACGCTGGCAGGGGTTAATGGGTGGCTCTTCCTCTTCCTCATCCTCTATATGAGGTCGCTCCCGGCTCTGGGCTCAGTTTGCCGCGGCAGCCGGAGGGGCAGGAGCTGAGTGAGGCTGGAGCATCCATCCCTGCATCCCATCCCTGCATCCCATCCCTGCATCCCTGCGTGGGCTCAGGTGAGCGAGAGCATCCCCCACCTGCCTGGCACGGGTCCTGGCACGGTCCTGGCACGGGTCCTGGCCGCGGGGCTGGGCTGGGGAAGGTGAGGGTCCCAGTCCGGGAGCACAGTGCGTGCCTCAGTTTCCCCGTGTGTGCTCCGGGGTGGTGCGCTGTGGAGCCCGTGGGCTGCGTGTGGAGCTGCGTGGCAGCGGCTCCCTGGGCTGTTTGCTCCCCTGAGCTCTGCTCTGCCCGGCCCCTGTCCCTGCTGTCACCCGGGGCTGGTTCCGTGCCCTCCGCACAGGGAGAAAGGGAGAACCCTCCCTCCCAGCCCAGGCTGGCTGTGTGGGGCAGGCTCGGGTCCCCCAGCCCCGGGGCAGCTCTCCTGAGCTCGGCTTTGTTTTGCCGCTCGAGAAGACAAGGCGGCGGCGGCTCCGGTATTTTTTCCTGTCGGAAGGCGCCCCTGGGCTGGGGTGAAGCCGGCGGATGCTCGGCGCTTCTCCCTTCCTGCCCGGGGCTGCTCCTGCCTGGGCTGCCAGGACTCGCTGTGCGTGTGGCCTGGAGGGGACCCCGAGCTCTGCTTCAGCCCTATCCTCCTCCTCCTCCTCCTCACCGCCGCACCCTCGGGGCTGACCCTGACTCTCCTCTCTCCTCCAGGGCTGAATCCAGGAGCCGAGCGAAGCTCCAGGAGCCTCCTGGGCGGCTGCACCAGCCCTGCCCGGCCCCTGGGGAGGGCGCAGTGATCAGCATCGATCGGCATCGATCAGCATCGATCGGCATCGATCAGCAGTAATCAGCATCGATCGGCATCGAGCAGCAGCGATCAGAAGTGATCAGCATCGATCAGAAGTGATCAGCATCGATCAGCAGCGATCAGCAGCGATCAGCAGTGATCAGCATCGATCAGCAGCGATCAGCATCGATCAGTAGGGACCAGCAGTGCTCAGCATCGATCAGCAGGGACCAGCAGCGCGTTCCGGGGCCATGGTGCCCTTGGGCAGCCCCACTCTCGCCGTGTGCACCCCCAGCAACCTGCGCCTCGTGGCCCCCGGCCGCGGCTCGCCCCTGGCCTGGCTGAACCGGGGTCCCGAGTGCCCGCAGGGCCCGGGGGGCAGCGGGGGCCGCCGAGCCAGCGCCGTGGAGCGGCTGGAGGCCGACAAGGCCAAGTACGTGAAGTCGCAGCAGGTGATCAGCCGGCGGCAGGAGCCGGCGCTGCGCGGCTCGCCGCGGCTGTCCCCGCACGGGCGGCGCCGGCTGGCCCGGCAGCAGTGCCCCGAGCTGTGCCCGGCCTCCGAGCTGCCCGGCCCGCCGTCCCCCGTGTCCCGCCGCAGCGGCAGCCGGCGCCTGCTGCGCCCCGACTCGCTCATCATCTACCGGCAGAAGCGGGACTGCCCGGCCGGCGACAAGGAGAACACCAAGGGCTCCGCGCTGGTGCGCCGCCTCTTCCAGGGACCCCTCAGGGCCACGCCGCCCAGCTCGCCCCCCGCCAGGCCGCTGGGCCAGGGTCCCGGAGCCCCTCCAAGCCCCGAGACCCCCATGCTGTGGGCGCCAGCCGAGAGGGAGGCGGCGCGGACACCGCGGACACCGGCAGGGGACAGCGGCGGTGACAGCGGCGTTGTGCCCGGGAAGGAGCCGCTGGCGCTGCGCGTGTCGCTGCCGCTGTCGGAGCAGGAGCGCTTCTTCAACTACTGCGGGCTGGAGCGGGCGCAGGTGGAGCTGCTGGGCCGGGAGCGCTTCGGGCCCGCGGGCTGGGACAGCGCCTCGGGCCGGGCCGGCTCCGGCGAGTCCGAGCCCGGGAGGGCATCGGGGGGCAGCGAGGGGGGCGCGGGGCCGGGCACGGAGGAGGAGGAGGAGGAGGATGCGCGGCCGGGCAGCGCCGTCTCGGTGGTGGAACGCAACGCCCGAGTCATCAAGTGGCTCTACGGCTGCCAGAGAGCCTGGGCGGCGGCCAAGGAGTCCACGGTGTGAGCGGGGACAGCCGGGCCGGGAGCGGGACAGCCCGTGGCTCCCGATGGCTGCGCCGGGCCCCGCGCCCTCGAGGGATGTGTTCGAGGGGCACCCGTGGGCCTGGTGACACCCATGGGCCTGTGGCACCCATGGGCCTGGTGCCCTGGGGTGCTGCGGGCTGGGAGAGCTGCCAGGTGCTCAGGCTGAGGGTGGTGGCAGCACCTGAGGGCAGGTGGGGCAGGGACACCCCCGGGTGAGTCCCCGTGGGCTCAGGGCTGGCATGTCCCCCTGGTGTCACCCATCCTCTCCCTGTCCCCAGCCCAGGAGGGTGGGACATGCACACAGCCCCCAGTGACCCCCCGAGCCCCCTGTGGTGGGCAGTGCCCACCCCTCAGCCCCCTCCTCCCCAGAACAGGGGCTGCTGGGGCCGGGGCTGCCCTCAATAAATCTGTTTGGGTGTTTTTTCCTAGCCTGGCGTGCGTGTGTGGCTGTGGGGGGGATGCCCCAGGGCTGGGGGCAGCTCCCCCTCCCCACCCTGGGGGCGAGGGCAAGGAAAGCAGCAGGCAGAGCTCAGGGAAAAGGGGAACCTTGGGGTCTCTGCTGCAGCTGTGACCCCCAAACCCAGGGCAGAGCCGCAAAAAACTTCTGGCGAGCCCGGCAGCTGCAGCCTCCTCTAGTTGCCCTTGGGGGCGTTTTTATTCCGGATTTCGGCCAGCTTGCCGGCCAGGAAGCCCCAGTGGAAGGCTCCTTCCTCCGGCTCCCGCAGGTCGCTGCCGTCGTCTCCCGGCGGCTCCCCCGGGCTCGGGTCCGGCTCCGGGGGGGGCCCCCCCTTGTCCGGCCCCGGCGCCTGCTGCCACTTGCTAGCAAAGAGATCCCAAAAGCCAGGAGCCTTCTCGGTGTGGGGCACCTCGGGCGGCTCGCTGGCCAGAGGGCTGGGGACAGAGAGGGCACGGAAATGTCCCCAGGTGCAGGGACAAGCCCAAGCCCACCGTGCCCCCCTCCCTGTCGGCAGCCGGGGAGGGGGATGCCGGTGATGGGGTGGGGCTGTGGGGGGGCTGGGCAGTTTCTGGGGGTCGGATCCGGGTTCTGGGGTCCCCCCCCCGCCCAGATCTGTGACTTACTGGTCTGGGCAGGGCTCCGGGCTGAGCAGCTGGTGCTCGTCCTCGCGGGTGAAGAGGGACGAGAGCGTCCTCCAGCCGCGGGCACCCACGCCCTGCACCTGCGGGGCGGCTCCGGGGTCACCGGGCACCGCCTGCTGCCGGTGTCCGCCGGCCCCGCCGCCCCCAGCCCCCTCCTCACCTTCCGGGCCAGCTGCGACACGGGGCTGGCTCCCTCCTCCCGCAGCGCGGGGGGCTCGGCCGTCTCCATCAGCTCGGGGGGCTCTCCCTGCAACGAACCCCCGGTGAGGGCAGGGCGGCGGCCGGGGGGCTCGGTCAGCCCGTTCTGGCGACCCCCGGCCCTACCTCGTCCTGCAGGGCCCCGTCGGGCCGCGGCCCCCCCAGGCTCTGCAGCACCTTGGCCTTGTAGAGCCGCCAGAAGCCCTGGGCCATGGCGGGGGCTCGGCGGGGCCGCAGCCGGCGGAGCCGCGGCCGGCGGGGCGATCCGGTGCCTTCATTAAAGTTTCAGCGGCCGCTCGCTCCGCACAAAAGGAATCTGAGCCCCGCGCCGCGGCGGGGGCAGCGCGGGGGCGGCTCCTCCGCTCGCCCCCCCAAAGCCGCCCCGAGCCCCCCGCCGCAGCCCCCCGGTGCCCCTGGCCCACCTGGGGCCCCCAGGGGTGGGACACCCCCGCACGGGGCAGAGGAGGCGCTGGGGCTGCGCGCTCCCCCCGCCGCGTGTCCCCATCCATAATTGATCACGGGCGAAACGCGATCGGCACCGGGGCGCGGCGGGGCGCGGCGAGCCCTGCCCCGCTCACGGCAGCGGTGACCGGGGCGGCGCGGGGGACACGGGGACAGCGCGGCGGGGACGGTGGCACCGGGGGCTGGGGGTCGCAGGGCACGGGAACATCCCGGGACCATCCCGAGGCCATCCCGGGGCCATCCCGGAACCATTCCGGCGGGACCATCCCGGGGCCATCCCGGAACCATTCCGGGACCATCCCGAGAACATCCCGGGGCCACCCCGGGACCACCCCGGGACCATCCTGGAACCATCCCGGGACCATCCAGGGACCATCCCGAGGCCATCCCGGGACCGTTCCGGTGACACCGGGCCGAGGGGGCGGGGCCTGGCGCTTCTGGGCGTGGCTTACACTGATAGGCGTGGCCACGAATAGCTGTCGCTGTCTGTGGGCGGGGCGTGCGGCGGTGTGGGCGGGGCGTGCGGCGGTGTGGGCGGGGCCTCACGGCGCACCGGGGCGCACCGGGCGCACTCGCTGGCCCGGCAGCTCAAGACGAAGCGGCGCCGGCGCGACCTGGACGAGATCCACGCGGACCTGAAGCCCGAGAACGCCGCGCGGCTGCTGCGGCAGGAGATCGACCCAGACCTGCCGGGCTGCGCCCAGTTCTACTGCCTGCACTGCGCGTGCGTGCGGCGGCGCGCACCGGGAGCGCACCGGGGGGAGCCCGGGGCTCGGGGGGACGGCTCCCGCCTTGGCATGGGCTTGTCGTGGTCCCGGGGTGCCCTGGGAGGGGGTGCTCTGCCCTGGGGGTCCCCTGGGAGGGTGTGCTGAGCCCTGGGGGTCCTTTGGGAGGGGATGCTCAGGCTCTGGGGGTCCCCTGGGAGGGGGTGCTCGGGCTCTGGGGGTCCCCTGGGAGGGGGTGCTCAGGCTCTGGGGGTCCCCTGGGAGGTGGGGTCAGGTCTGGGGGGTGCCCTGGGAGGGGGTGCTCAGCCCTGGGGGTCTCCTGGGAGGGGATGTTCAGCCCTGGGGGTCCCTTGGGAGGGGGTGCTCGGGCTCTGGGGGGTCCCTGTCCCCTGGCCAGAGGGCTCTGACCCCTGGGGGTGTACCTTGTCCTGCTCTCAGGGTGACCCCAGACCCATGCAGGGCTGTGCTGGGACCCCGACCCCTCGGCTGGACCCTCCCCAGCCCCCCTTCAGTCTCGGGGTCCCCCTGACCCCCCGTCCTTTCCCCCCCAGGCGTTACTTCGTGGACCTGACCAGCATGAAGGAGCACTTCAGATCCAAGGTGCACAAGAAGAGGTGAGGGGGGGACAAACCCCAAACTCCCCGGGGTTGGGGGGTGGCAGGGGCAGGTGGGATCCTCACCCCCGTGTGCCCCCAGGCTGAAGCAGCTGCGGGAGGCTCCCTACTCGCAGGAGGAGGCCGAGCGTGCCGCTGGCATGGGCTCCTACGTGCCCCCGCAGAAGGTGGAGGTGCACACCCAGCCCCTGGAGGAGGCCACCGAGATGGAGACGGCGAGCTGAGCGCGGGGACAGGGCACTGAGGGGCTCTCTGAGCACGTCTTTGTCCTCTGCTCTGTGAGATAAGCGTGTCCCAGCACTGGCAGCCAGATCCACGCTGCTCCCACAGCCCCCTGGCCGGGGCAGTGACGAGGAGAAGGAGCCAGCAAGACCCTGGGTGCCCTCCCCGAGGGTCCCCCTCCTCCAGGAAGGGACACGCTGCTTGTTCTCCATGCTGCTGGGGCTGCACGCCTGTCTGCCTGCTTCTGGAGCAGTTTCTGCTCTGTCCTTGGCTCACGGGTTATCCCAGTGATTAAAATTAAAATATACAAACTACCAGCGTGGCAGTGTTGAGTATGAGGGTGACAGTCCCCCCGAGGGGTGGGGGACACCTCGGGGCTGTTCTCTTCACCATTTCCCAGAGGTGTCCATGCCAGGAGCCTCACCCTGGAGCTCTGGCCTGGCAGGGTGGTAAAATTCCCTCTGCCCTCCTGGCAGGGAGTTCCCAGGCAGATTTTTGTGGGGAGCGTGAGCTTGAGTGACCTCTTCATGGAGCACTTGGGTTTGCTGGGTTGGGCCTTGAGGGGGGAGTCCTTGGTGAGGACACTTTGAGGCTCCTGTCCCCAAAAACTCAACTCCTGCAAGTGATTTCATGCTCCTGGAGGGGCCGGGCTGGGTGGTGATCGGCCTCCCTGCATTCCTGGAGTGACAATGCCACCGAATTCCGGCCGAGTTCTTGTCCCCATTCATCCCTCCCGTGTCCCCATTCTTCCCTCCCGCCCAGCTGGGGCCTGGCGACGTGCTGGGAACGGCGGGCAGAGCAGTGACACAGCCGTGCCGGCTAGGGAAGGGTTTATTTCCACGCTGCCAGCCCGGATTTGTGTCCCCGGGCTCCGGGGGAGGGAGAGCCGCAGCTCTGCGGGGGCTGGGAAGGTTCAGCCGCCATCCCGGCGGGATGTGCCAGACAGGGACACACGGGATGTGCCCAGGGACACACGGGATGAGCCCAGGGACACTCGGGATGTGCCCGGGGACACACGGGATGTGCCAGCCTGGGGACAGGGGATGTGCCCAGGGACACACGGGATGTGCCCAGGGCCACGTCACCGCCCGTGTCCCCCCTGCCCGTTACCTAACAGCGCAGCGCTGGCCGGGTTCCCGGGGGCACAGCACGTTCCCATGGGGACAGGGGGGCTCCGTGGCCACCAGCGGGGTCCCCAGCCCTCCCTGCTTCCATGGATGCAGCTCGCGGCTCTGCCGTCCCTCTGTCTGTCCGTCCAGCCGGTGTCCCCGCGGGGCTCGGGCCGGGCCCAGCCGGCAGCCCCGGAGCCGGGAGCGGTTTCTCCGTTCTCCATCGCGGCTGGGCAGGCGGGGGCAGGCGGGGACAGCCGTGTGCCCTGTCCCCGGGGCATCCGCGGCGGTGGAAGGGCTGCATGTGGCGCGGGTCAGCTGCAAGGCGGCCGCGGCTCCGCTGGGGCGGGGAGGGGTCCCCAGCACCCCCCGGGACCCTCCCCAGAGCCCCCCCGGCCCCCTCCTCACGGCTGCGGGGGGGCCTTGGCGGGGTCAGCCATTCTCCGGGCGCTGTAGAGGGACAGGCAGAGCCCGGCGGCCGCCAGCAGCAGGGCCAGGGGGGTCAGCAGCCGCCCCCCGGGCTCAGCCCCCCGTCCCGCTGCCAGCTGCATCTGTGGGGACACAGAGAACACCGGGCAGCACCCCGAACC